GGGGGACACATGGATATTACAATGGATGGATATGTGGACAGATGGTTGGATAAATGACTGAGCAGACAAACAAGGGTAAGCATGGGCTGGTAACCCTGGAAGGGGAAGACGGATCTTCAGGGTGTGGTCAGAACCATGTTGCTGAAGTGAGGGTGAGTTGCACTGAACCAGTCCTGTCACTTCACTGGTGACCTCCTGGCACAGAAGCCAGGCTAGAGGCAGAGTAGGGGAGGGCTGGCGGTTAGTTCCTCCACCCATGCCCTTTCCCCAACCACCAAGAGATCCTGCTTGGAATGATACCCTGACCGCTCTGATGGGGAAGCTTCCAGGGCTGAATTTGCAGCTCCCTCCCTCCCCTGCAGCCCAGTAAAGTCCTTAACCCACCCGGGTCAGCCTGGCCTGAGTCTGGGCCCTCCGCCAGGCCCACGCTGCTGGCCAAGATGGCTTTTCAGTATATACATACACATATGTCCCAGGATGCTGTTAGTCAGGCCTGGGGCTGGGGCGCCAATGCTTGTAGGCCACGGGAGGGCGTCATCTGTGAGAGCACAGGGCGATGGTGTCACTGCCAGCCTTGGGGACTTGGTGCCTGAAGACACTTGGGGAGCACCCCGAGCTTGATGCAGGCACCCCTGCCCCTAGCCCACCCCTTGTTGCCCATCCGATGTCTGTGAGCCTAGCACTTTGCTGCCCAGGAAGACCCCCAGGCTCCCCTCCCCCTCCCTGCTCACTCCTGTTTGTCAAGCAGTCCTCTGTCACCCTGCAGGCATTCCGCTGCTGTTGCATGACCCTGGGAATGACAAGATTCACAATCTCACTTTACAGCTTACAAGGAATATGGTGTCCCCCAGACTGAGAAACTGAGTTGCAGAGGGGTTTGCCTAAGACCACCAGCCTTTGAATCAGGGACATACCCAGGTCGAACTGACCCCAAACCCAGGTGTCTTGAGGAAGGACTCAGTCTGTGGCAGGCACAGGTGGCTGTCACCCAAAAGCCACTCCCTTCCCTTACCGGAAGAAGACTGATTTTGGTCCCTTGTCCTCTCCCACCCCAGGACTGATTTTAGACAGTCCTGATCAGTCTCCGCCTGTTGTGGAACTCCCGGTGCCCCCCTTGCTGTGGTCGGCTTAAAGATGGGGGAGTCCACAGGTGAGGTGTGGGCAGTCGGCATGGCGGGTCCTGGCCTTGGGGAAAGGTTTTCTCCTTGCTAAAAATGAGACCCACAGGAAGCAATACCCACTCTCTCCACCCCAAGTAGGCTGTGCTTCTGTGTGCCCCTGGGCCTGTGGTAGCCATCCCGAGACTGTGAGGAGCCAACAGAAGCGGGGAACCAGGGCCTTGGGCGACACTGCAGAACGGAAGGATTCATGTATTCTGGAGCCACCCACATCTCGGGACCTCTTGGGTATGTGAGATAACGAATTTTCTTTACTTCTTGAGGCAGCGGTCTCTAAATATTTGTTATTATACCCCCCAATGTATTTAGCTTATTTATTGAGAAATTGTATATCTGTACCACACATACAGCTATCTCCAAGTGAGCTCACATATTTACTGCTTCAAATGTACAAAGTTATTTATACATTCTTGAGGAATATAAAATAAAAGAGGATGAGCTAAAAAATACAACTAAATGTCTACTTTTCTCTCCCCTCACTCCAGTGACTTGTTTTGTATATGCTTTTGGTATATACACCCCGTTTGGGGGGGCCCAAAGGTGGGCATTATTTTGAGTTGGAATTTCCACCACCTGCAACCAGAGGCCTCCAACACATAAATGGCCAAGATGCATGTTTCCTCCTCTGCTACCTGTCTCCCTTGTTAGACTGCGAGCTCCAAGGGGCAGGGAGCACGTCCATCTGGTGCAATGCCATGCTCCTGGCACTCTGCCCTGAGCCTGGCACACAGTAGGTGCTCAATAAACACAGGCTGAAAAGACAAGTGTCCACGACTTCCTGGCTGGGAGACTTCAGGAAAGCTACCGTCAAACCTCTCTGCCCTCAGCTGCAGTATCTGTAAAGTGCAGTTGGTAATGTCCACTCACCTCCAAGGAGAGGGCAGAGAGAGGGGCAGTGTTTTGTTAACTGCAAAGGATTGGGTAGAGGGAGGGGCCGCTGTCCTCACCTCCTGACCCTGGCCTCCCTGGAGGTGAAGGCCACATCCTCAGGTGGGTCACACAGGTCCCTGGGGCTCCTTGGGGATCGTGGCATCGATGTCCTTCTCTAGGACCGGGAGTGGTGGGAGAGTTCTCTGGGAGCTGGTGGGGAGGAAGTGGCTGCAGCTGCTGCCACCTCCTAGTGTTCCCTGCAAGTTTCCATGTGGAATCCGCCCACAAGTGGAGCTTTCAGCACTGTGACCTCACAGAGCAGGGAGAGTGGTTTTCCCAGGGTCCAGCTTGACTCTGGAACTTCCCCTTGGAGGAAGTTCTTTCCCATTCTCACCAACTCTACTTTTAAGATGGAAAAATTGAGGCGTCAAGACAGGCAGGGCCATGCCAGGGTCTGGGGTTGGGCAAGGGCAAGAGCTGAGGCTTGGATATCATGTCATGCTTTCACTTGCTCCCAGACTCCTTCCGGCCCCAAGCTTCCTGGACTTGCCACTTTCTTAGGTTATTTGCAATGCTGGGCTTCTCAGTGGTGAACATTTTGCTTTACACAAATTAATGTACACGTGCTGTTGTTTTAATAAAATTCTACTTTTTACTGGGGAATGATGAAAGCATAACAAGTGGAAATGTCTGGCTACGTTTTTCCTGTGAGCCCTGCTGGTGCACAGCCTATTTGGATCATGAAACTAGAATGGAGTCACTTTTGCCCCCTTGTAGAAGTTGCTCAGATTGCAGGCTAAGTACTTGTGCTAAGCAGAACGATGGCTCTCCAGAGAGGCCTGTGTACTAAAACCTGAACATGTGTGTATGTAGGTTTCATAACAAAGGTGAATTAAAGCTTGCAGAGGAGTAAGATCGCCAATAAGCTGACCCTGAGGTGGGAGAATATCCTAGCTTGTTCAGTGTGATGATCAGGGTTATATGTGGAAGAGGGAGGCAGAAGAGAATATGGCCATATTAGGAGCACCCAGGCCAGCTTGCTGGCTTTGAAGATGGAAGATGTCCATGAGCCAAGGAATAAAAGTGGCCTCTAGCAGCTGGAAAAGGCCAGGAAATGAATCCTCTCCTAGAGTCACTAGAAAAGAACAAAGCCTGACCAATACCTTGGTTTTTTAGCCCAGTGAGATCCATTTAAGACTTTGGACCTCCAGAACTGTAAGATAATAAATTTGTGTTTTAAGTCACTAAGTTTGTGGAAATTTGTTACAGCAGCAATAGGCAACTGATACAGTACTCTCAAGAATATTCGGGAAGGGGAAGCCCTGAAGTGCTGCCACTGTACTTGTTATGAGGGTCTTTCAATTGTACATTCATTCATTTCTTCATTCAACAGATATTTATTGAGCACCCTGGTATGTTCCAGGCTACAGAGGTGAGCAGGACCAGCTCCCATCCCGGGGATGAGGGTAGAGTGGCTGGCAGAATGCCTTGCACATAACAGGTACTCACTGAACTGTGCTCACTCTTGCTGTAGAGAAGATGGGCTGGTGAGACTGTCCCTCCTTTGTGTCTTACTGACTGTCACCCAATGTCCCCTAAGCTGTAAATGTGGAAGAAGAGGAAATGTCCATGCCAGGAACAAACACTGAGAGTGGCTTTGGTCAATATTTGTGCCCCTCTCCACTGAGTCTGCTGTTTGCCTCAGCTTCAGTGAGGGCCAGGGGGGCTGGTCTTATGTGTCGGTGGAAAAACTGAGGCCAGGAGTAGGATATCAGACCGTGCAGTGGGCTCTTCTCATTCCTTTTTCCTATGGAACAGGATGGAGGAGCCCTTGCTGAGAGGCAGGGCTGGTCCATGTGAGCTCTGGCCTCTCAGGGGAGGGCTTGATGGTATCTGCAGTCCCTGTCAGTTCTGTGGGCTCTAGTGGGGACCCAGCACAGGGTGGGCCTGGGCCCTGGGCTTGTGTAGTGTCAGTGGGAACCATGGAGAGCTCTGAAGTGGGGGAAAGCCTCAAGGCCACTTGTGCCTGTCCCCTAGGTGAGCCATTCAGAGGAATGGAGGGGCCTTCCCTGCAGTTATGCCGTCATCTCCCATGCACACATGCATGTACACACACAAATACATATGCATACACCCTCAATGCCAGGAAACAGCTCACTATACACTTGCACACATGCATACATGTACCTAACTCCATACAGACACACTCTGTACCAAACCCACATATACATGCTGTACCCAAACCCCATACCTGCACTCATGTAGGTTTGTGTGAACAAGCATGTAACACCATAAGCCAAGATGTCAACATGCCCATTTTATGCACACACTCACATGCGTACACATACTTCCTTCCAATGCCAGTCATTGTGACCTAATGCACACACAACCACACAAACATATAAGCACACATATATCCTCACACACATATGTATGCAAATGTCTTCATCTGCATGTGTAGTTCCTTGGGCTGCATATAGAGTTTGTAATGTGGAAAGAGATGATAGGCTAAATTCATTGTGAGTGAGATGTGCATTTGGAGAGAGGCTAGGGGCTGGGTCCCCCACACCCTCTCATCCATTACCTTTTGAATTAGGGCTCAGTGTGCAACCAGGATCAGGGCTCAGTCTATGACAAGGGTCATGGCTCAGTATGTCACCAGGATCAGGGCTCAGTCAGTGACTAGTTTTGGGGCTCAGGTGGCCTCCTGCTTGAAGGTACCAGGCTGGATGATGAGGGGCCTTCCTGGGAGCAGCCCTCTCTCCAGAGTTTTCTGCCCTTGGAGGCCCCAAAGCTGCCCAACCCCAGGGTCTTGCAGCAGCTGGCAGTGAACCTGGCCACGTGGCAGCCCCACTGCACCTGTGGGATGAGACACTTTGGCAAAGGCCATGTTTGCAGGGAAAACAACTGCAACCACAAGCAAACCTGCTCCTCCCTGGGTCCCTTTGCAGTGGGACCTGCACACCAGCGAGCCTCATAAAAGAGCTTTCATGCCTTCCCAGGGCTGAGAAGGCCTTGGCTGGGGCTGAGAGTCCACCTGTCCTGGGAACTGCCTGCGGTAGGTAGAAATGGGGACAGGGCTGGTACCCCTCTGGGGAGGAGTCTCAACTTATCCATCTGTACAATGGGGATACTACTTCCAGCCACGTTCTGCTAAGGGTCCATCCCTAGTCTTGCTATAGGACTTCAGGCAAGTGTGGCCTCGCTGGGCCTCAGCCCATTTGAGTGGTGGCTCCTCATTCCTGCCTGGCTCCTTCTTGCTGAGTCAGATGCAGATCTGTCTACGTGGCTGGGCTGGGTTGGGAGGGGCCGGGGGGTCCTGGGAGAGGCCTGCTTTCAGGACATTCCTCACCTGGCAGGATGAGATGAGAACAGCCGCCAGCCTGGGTCCTCCCCTGGCTGGGTTTGGACATCTGGACACCAGGCTGGGCTGGACTCCTGGCATTGGAGGACACCGCCCTGGGCTTTGGGGTAGTAGCCTGGGCTCTGTCCTTGGGACGGGAAGCTGCCCTCAGTCTCCCCACCCAGGAGTGTCCCCATCTTCCTCTGGTATGGCTTGGGTCCTGCACCAGCTCTCTTTGCTATGTGGCCTCAGGCAAGGCCTTGTCTTCTCTAGGCCTTGGGGCTGTTTGCAGACTAGCTCCCTTGTAGTTCCTGGCAGAGCAGGCAGGGAAGGCAATATCCTCCCAATGCAGAGACACAAAACCCTTGAGTGGGGGCTCAGGCCTGGCTGGGATCACCACTCAGGCTTGCCACCTCCAGGCTGCGGTGGGGTTTAAGCAGCCCAGTGGGTGGGGTGCTGTTCTAGATAAGCTCCCTGATGCTTGTCCCTACCCTGGCCCATAGGTTCTGGTGGGCCGTGGCCAGAACCGCCATGACTAGGTCATGTGGGCTGGGCCTGCTGCTGGTGCTCGTGCTGCCTGTGGTCAGCGCCTCCAGGCCGGGTGCTGTGGTCAGACTCAACAAGGCAGTGCTGAGCTACGGTAAGAGACATGCTGCAGAGCTGTCCTGTGTGGGCCTGTGCACAAGTGTGTGCCCGTGAGTCCATGTCCGTAAGTGTGTGTACAACCTTGAGTGTGTGGGTATATCTGTGAACTCCAAAGCCCCATGAGGACCTGGATTTTATCTCATCTGCTGCTATGCCCCCACAGTGCCTGGCACAATGCTGCTCAGTAAATATTAAATGAATGCTTGAGTGGGAGTATATGTGTGTCCACTATACACATGTGCACACATGGCTGTGCTCACAGGCCCCAGTGGTATGGGCCTGGGTTGGTTTGAGTGGCTACTTTTGCTCATGCATGTCTGCTATGAGTTTGAAAATTCATGGAGATGTGTCCACGCATGCGCTTGAGTGTTGGGAGGGTCCCTAACCATGGGTGCGTGAGCAAGTACCATGGGGCGTGCCTGGATGTGTGTATATAGGCGTGGCTGCCCACTCTGGGCATATGGGGTAGGGGCAGTCTGCGTGCACATGCATGCTGGGAGAGGCATGTCTAGTGCAGTGCAGTATGGGGGGGGAGCGTCCTAGAGTTAGAGCCTGTTGGGCTCACAGTGAGAAGAACTGGCCCCTCTCTGGGCTCCTCTGGGCAAAGCCTCTGGCCCATGATTCTGCTGTGTCCTTCCAAGTTCTGCCCCGTTCCATGGGGAGGGCTTGATGAGGAAACCTAGGCCCAGAGGACACATCTACTCTCCCAGCTGCCCATGGAGAGGCTTTCAGTGTCCCACCTAAGCCAAGTCAGGTGAGAAATTAGAAGCTATTTCCCTCACTGCCAGACCAAACCCAGATCACAGTGTGAGGGGCTGAGGTCAACCAGCAGAAGGGACTTCCAGGCCATGAAACAGTGAGGTAGTGACTCAGGAAGCAGCAGGGTGCCCCTGGCGCACACACAGCCTTCCAGGGCCTTGTATCCGGGTGGCTGGACAGGCAATAAAAAGGATCCGTGATCCGTGGTAGTGTAACTGGCACACAGAGCCACCTATGGATACTGCAGGCAGGGACGTGAGGCCTGCCGCCCTCCACGGGCCACCCTCCATCTGCCTGCGCTGTATGACCCTCTCCTGTCCCCAGAGAGCCCCCCAGCACACCTGTCTATGTTTGCTCTGGGTGGAAACCCGGTGGGGGGCCCGTGTGGCACATAGCTCTACCCAAGGCCGGGCTGAGTGACTTCTTAGTGTCCTTCCAGTCCCATCCTGCAAGCCCCCGAGTTCCAGCCCTGTGTCAGAGGGGCACTGTGGGGAGCCCCAGAGGCATGGGTGTGAGTCTCAGCTCAGCCACAGATAGTCAGGCTGGAGGGGCACTGCTGCCTTTACCCTCCAGGTCTAGGGAAACTGAGGCCCAGAGAGACCCAAGGACTTCCCAGTTCCCACAGCGATTCTGAGTGACATTTGGGCCTCCTGGATGCTCATTTGATGCTCCCTTCAGCAGCAGTGTCTCTCCTTTTCATCCCACTCATGTTTCATTGTTTAATTAGCACGTCCCTCATCCCGGCAGCACACATATGTGAGGAAGTCCAGGGGCTTGGGAGCCAGGTGCCTCGGGCCCAGGTCCAACTTCCCCTTGCGGCTGTCCTGGCCTGCGGTACCCTGGGCCTACGTACACCGGAGAACCTGGCATGATGGAAACACTGTACACGTGACAGTGTTATTACCAGAATAAATCACCACAGTGAGAGCTAATATTGTGAACTGAGGCTTTACAAGGAACTGATATGTCAGGTGCCATATAATCACTGCACATTTATAGGTGGGAAAGCTGAGCCACAGAGCAGCCACAGAGACAGTAAGCAGCAGAGCCGGGATTTGCCCCGAAAATCTGAGAGGCTCCAGAGTCCTCAGCCTCCAGCTCCAGACCCCGCCTGCATTGGGAAATCTGCTTGGGGATTTGGGGACGGCTCCCGAGGTGCTGTGGTCTAATCAGTCTTGCAGCAGGGCAAAGGATGTTACTGTTTTTGAGGAGTGGGGTAGACAAGTAGGATTTGGGAGGGCAGAAACAAGAGAGGAGGGGCACGCCTTCCAGCCTGGTGTGGGTAGAGCACCCAAGGTGGACTCCTCGGGAGCCAGCTGGCCCCACCCATGTGCCTGCGGAGAAGCCCAGCCTCTGGTCTCCAAGTCCTCTCCACCCAAGATGCAGGTAGATGGTGGGTCGTGTGGTTTTGCTCAGTGGCTCCCAAGGCAGCCTGAGCTCACTCTGCTCTGGGCCCACAGTGTCTGAAATCGGGAGAGCCCCTCTCCAGCAGGCCCTGCGGGTCACTGTCCCATATTTCCTGGACCGGAATGGAGAGGTGATTCAGCCCAGCAGGTGAGTGCTCCCGTCACCAGGTGGTGTTCCTGCCTGCCAAAGGCATGTCAATCCACCAGGTAAGTGCTCCCACCCCTGGGAAAAATGCTCTAGCCCACTGGATGAGCACCCTTGTCTGCGGGTGATGCTCCCCCTCATTAGATGCACCCACCCATTTGTGGTCACAAAAGGATTTAGGAGATGGGACAGACATGGAGACATGCGGGCCTTTCTGAATTAGTAGATTTCTGGCCCTCAGAGCCAGGACTGTGGCTCCTGGGTCCCTAACGCTGGCAGGATCCTCAGCTACTTCCTGCAAAAGTTATACACTGCATTTAGACACAAGTCCGAGCCTAATTTACCCCCACTCCCCCCATAATACATGCAGACTCAAAGGCAGAGGTGGGTGGGGGCATATCAAATCTCCAGGGGCTGGACCAGTTGTCCCCACCCAAGTAAGAACACAGACTCACTATTGCCAGGTCTCTGGATTCCCAAGAGAGTCATATATACTTGAAGTCTATAAAGATTTGAATGATGGCAAGTAATTTAAAAACATTTAAAAAGTGTAAAACACTGGGGAGGTAAAAATGCAGCTGGCCTGGAGGCCCCCAGTTTGAGGTCCTTAGGGGAGGGCTGGAATGCTGCTCATGGCGAGGCTGGTGATGGTGGAGAACTGGGAACGACATCAATATCCAGCCGACGAGGATTCCCAAGTGATTTGTAGACGGCCCCAGAACAGACGTCACATGGCCACTTGAAAGCAGCACCGCGGGCCCTGTTTGTAGATGCTCAGAGGCTCCAGGATGGCCTTCGAGTAAAAAGAATCAGGTTCTAGGTCAGCCTGTGTCCTCAGGAAAGTCGCGGAAAGACGTCACCCACGGGCTGGCAATGAGAGCGTTTGAGGGTAGAGTTTGGATGTGACTTAAAATGTATATCCTTTGTAGTGTCTGTAGTCCCCCTGCCCACTCCCCCAGCTACTGTGTGAGAGGAAATGGCTTTCATTTGGGATAAAAGAAAAAATCATAGATTAGCTTGAGAGTGCTTAACAATCAGAAGGGGCGGCTTTGAAGGGAGCGAATTGCCATTGCTGGAGGGCTGCTGGCCATAGCTGCTGACTAGAATGCTATAGAGGGGATTCCTGCCTTCTGTGCATTCCGGAGTCTAGAAAGACTCCCCAGCTTACCAGGTTTCTGGACCTCCAAGACCTGAGCATTCATCTCACTCAGTCCCCACCCAGTGCTGGGGTCCCTACCAAACTGTTATCCAGCCATGGCTTGCAGGCCCCAGGGATGGAGGACCCCCTGCCTCTTCCTCATCGCGTGGTTCCAATCATCAGGAAGTCCTTCTTCATAACATCAACAGTGCGGATCTGGCTCAGAGCACCCACCTCGGAGCTGATTCCCTGGTTCACTAGGGGCTACCCTGTCACCTTCACTCCTACCCTGCAGGATCCAGATTCTGAGTGTCTCTGTGCCCCACCTCCGCCTGAAACTCATTGCCGGTTTGGGGGTACACTTGGCAGCAGAGGCCAATTTTACTTTCCAGGTCTTTAGGTGAGTGACTCTCCTTGTCGACTGGGAGGAGGATTTCAAGGGGCAGAATGAGGGGCAGGAGTTCAGCAATTCCCAGGACCTGCACTCAGGCCTTCTGATTCCCTGTCCAGTGTTCTCTTTCCCACCCTCCAGTGGGGGAGCGACAGTGAGAGAATTTCCAAGAACCTGGACCCTGCTCAGCAGCTTGGGCAACTGGGCAGAGTCATTTCATTTCTCCAACTCTCAGTTTCCACCTCTGTAAAATGGGATGAAACTTTGCAGTATGGCTGTGAGGGTTGTAGTGAATGGACCACTTGCTGTAAATAAAACTACATCCTCCCTTTTACAGTGCAAGGCACATAGTAGGTGCTCAATAAACATAGCTATTAGAATTATTTCTGTGCATCAGTCATTTTATATGCATTTAATTTTCAGACTACCAGCTGGGAGTTCAGAAGGGTCTCTCATTTCAGCTCGTCTGAGCTGACACTACCGTTTTCTGAGTGCTCACTGTGAGCCAGGCTCCCAGTAGGAGCTTTTCACACAACCACCCCAGAGAAGACTCAGCAAAGTCCTGTGAGATAGGTACCAGCAAACTTACATCCATTTTACAGAAGAGGAAACTGAGGTTCAGCCTGGGGAATGACTGGCCCGGGTCTCCCAGTGAGAGGGTACAGGAAGCCAGAGTTCACACACCCATCTGGGGTAATGTCTATGATCCCGAATGGAATTTGGGGGATTCTGGGCCTCTCCCAAGGGGGACCATCTCATGCTGAGAGGGTCCTGTCTGTGTCAAGTGGAGGGCAGCCTGGGGGTTTTGCAAGGTCTCACGTCGGTCAAGGTGGGCTCTGCTGGATGTGTTGTGGGGCTCAGGCCTCATGTCCCTGCAGGGCCCCAGAACCCCTGGAGCTGATGCTGCCTGTGGTGCTGCTGGCTGACGCCCGTGTGGCCCAGGGCTCCATCGGGACGCCTGTCGTCAGCATCTCTGCCTGCTTGTCACTCTTTGGTGATGCCATCCTGTTTGATGGCAGTAACAGGTGGGTTCCTGGAGGGGGCTGGGCCACAGGAATCCCAGACACCAAGGCTGTGGTACTGTTTCTTGAGTTTCCTACTGAAGCCTTTATCCAGTCACCACAATGGGCCTGAGAGACCCCCAGAATCTTGCCTGTTTTATAGCTGAGGACACTGAGGCTCAGAGAGGAGGAGGGACTTGTCCAAGGTCACACATTGAGTGCGCAGCCAGAGCCCATTTCCCCTTCACCACCCCACCCACAACACGTGACAATGCACACTAGCCATTAACATACTCAGGGAGGGAGTCTGGGCTGGTAGTACTATTAGGGACCTCAGGGGGCCCCCCGCTGTGCAGACTTGGGCAGACTGAGACCCAGTAGGCTGAGACCTGCCAAGCTCTCACTGTGAGCCAGGTGCCACTTGTGCTACATCTAAAGCTAAGAGCAGCTCCCACCTCCAGAGCACCTGCTCTGTGCTGGGTACTTTCTAGGCCATTTATGAGTATTGTCTCACCCAGAAGATTGTTTAAGTATTTCCCCCATTTTATAGGAGAGCAAATGGAGGAACAGAGTAGTGAAATGATGTGCTTAAGGTCGCACAGCTGGCAAACACTGAAGCCGGGTCAAACCCCACAGCCTGACCTCACTGCATGTGAACCCCCTACATTAAGTCTGCACCTTCCCACATATGGGCGGGGGCTTGCCGTGAGCTGGCTGAGCATTTCAGACTGGGCATGTGGCCAGGGAAAGTTGGGCATAAATCCATTCATGTTTCTTACCATGATCACCATGTGTAATTGGCTCCTCCAGGTCCTCATGGCAGGGGCTGCTCGTGGAAACAGAAGCTCAGAGGTTGATGGCATTAAAAAGGCACATGCCGTCTTCTTATCTAACTGGGAGGCAATTCAGTGAGTCTGGATAAGCATTTCAGCTGTGGTGTGGATAAACATTTTAGCAATAGTTTCCTATTGATCCCTGTTGAAAAACATCAAATTAGCTCCATCTTTTACTTCTCAGAGGGGAAACTGAGGTCCAGAGCCAGGAAGGGACTGACTAGGTGTGTCACAGAGAAGTGGAGCCCCAGCAGGGAGCACCCCACCTCGCTGGGCCCAGAGTAGCTGTGAAGCCAGCTGGCCGGTGATGTGGTCATGCCTCTCTGTCTCCTCAAAGCCTGGCCTCATTGTCACATCTCAGCCACTTCCAAACCTAGAGACCAATGACCTCTTCTTTGAGGTTCAGTGTCCTCACCTGTGGGGACAACGGTGCTGGCACTGTGTGTGGCACATGACAGACTGTGGAATGGGAGTCCCTGGTGCAAGGGCTGAGGGCAAAGACTTCTCTCCCAGACTTGTGGCTTTGCTGAGAGAGGCCCAGATGCATTGACCTGGAGCTCAGGAGCCCTGCCTGTATCTCTCCCTTAGCACGGCCCCGGCGCTGCTGGTCCCAGTGCAGAAGCACATCAAAGCTGTCCTACGTGACAAGGTAAAGAGCCCCCTGCCCAGCCCCTCCGGAAGGGGCATGTTGCCTTCCTCAGAAGGCGGGCTCACCAAGTGGGGGCCGCAGGCGTGGGGAGGTTGCATTGCTATTGCTCTTTTTAGTAGCAGGCCCTTCAGGGGCTCCTCCAATTTTCCCATGAGGGCAGGAAAGAGGGCAGGGCAGTGATGGGGAGGTGGGCTGGGGGGCGGTAGGGCAGGGAGGCTTAGCCTCTTGGGCCAGCCCCTAGCCCATGCTGGAGGGTGGGCTGGGGCCAGGGCCAGTGCGTTCAGGGGCACGTGGCTATGGGAAGGACACAGGCCTGAGCCCTGGGGCCAGGCGGGGCCTATGCTTGAATTCTGGTTCCCCTCATTCCCAGCCACAAACCTTGGATAAGTCGCCTAACCTCCCTCAGCCCCAGATGCCGCATCTGTAGTACAGAGAGTAAATGTAAATGCTCTCAAGGGCTGCGTGTGGGCTGAGGCATGAGCAGCTGGAAAGAGTTTAGGACAGTTTTGGCGGAGTGAGCGCTGCTATTACTGCGGCTGTTTTGGCTCCTGTTAGCTTCCTGTGGCCAACTTGGTGGGGGCAGTGCCCCAGGGCCTGGGTCCCACTGCACAGGGCAGCCGGCTCTCCGGGTCTCCGTCTCTGCCCCTTCCCACCCCACCCCACCCCACCCTGGAGGTGGGCTTCAGCCACTCCTATCCTGCAGGTGAGAAAGCTGAGGCTCAAAAGCTGAAGTCAGCACAGCTGGCGGCCCTCTCCTGGCCTCGCCTGGTGCAGCCTCAGTAGCTCTCGGCTGGCCCAGGCTATGCCCACCCCCAGCCTTGCAGACCCCCTCTGGCCCACCTCCTATTGCAATAAGCCCAGTTTAATACGCTTCTCTGGTTGCCCACTGTGCCCAGGAGAACTCCCTCTCCCTGGACTGGCTTGCTGCCCCCTGCCTGCCTCTGCCATGGGCAGCTGGCCCTCTGGGCCTCCATGCAGCCGGCTCCCTCTGCTGTGTCCCACAGCCCCTGTTCTTTCCTTGATGCCCACCAACCCCAGCTTCCCCTCTGAATCCTCAGTGCCTGGATGAGGTGCCTGAGGATGCCCACAGGGTGGCGGAGGAAGGAAGGGATTTCAGGCCTTGGTTTGAGGGTTGGGGGAAGCTTACAGACGGAGACCCTAGATGCCCAGCCCCGAGTGCTGCCCTAACCCAGTACCCCCCTGTCTTGCAACCCTGTCCTTGTCTGGCTGCAGGTGTGCCTGAGCATCTCCAACCTGGTGCAGGACCTCAATGTGCACCTGGGCACTTTGGTTGGTAAGATTGGGGAGTTCAGGGGGAGGGGCTGGGGCCTCTGAGACCCTCTGGGGCCACTAAGAACCTTCAAAGACCTACCTCCTCTGGATCAGGGTTGACCGAACAATTATTGATAGAATCTGGGAATCTCCAAATTCCAGAACCAAGTCTTTGAATTTTTAGCGTGTGTGTGTGTGTGTGTGTGTGTGTGTGTGTGTGAAGGGGTAGCACATTCAGGTTACATCTCCTCCTCTGCCTGGAGATTCAGGACCCCATCCCCTGGTTTTGCCCCCATATCTCTCACATTCTATGCTGGCCTCTCCCCTACCACTTTTATGTTCCAGTTCCTTATGTTCCATATCCTCCTGGACACCTCCTCTTGGAGGTCCCACAGAGTTTCCCAAGTCAGCCTGCCCTCGACAGAACTCAAGTTCTCCTGCTCCCCAGTACCCCTGATCCAGTCTCCTCTTAAGGGGCCATCCATCCATCCAGAGTCAAGCCTTCCTCTCCTCCCCATCTTCCTTCAGGCTTGTTCTACCGCTGGCTTTTCCTGGGGTCTTCCTTACCCAGGGAGTACTAGGAGTATACTAGGAGAAGGCCACTGTCTTAGGCTAAGCAACAGCAGCAGACACTGAGATGAGGATTTTAGTGTAAATGGCTCAAATGGGTGGTGGTCCTGGGGGCACAGTTTGGGGAGCGGAGCAGAGACAAAGAAGGAAGGTGTGTTATGAGCAGGCAATGCTGTGGGCCCCTGGGGCTCACTCCCATGAGGGAGCCCCTGGAGACTGAGTTGAACATGCCTAGCACCTTGCCTGAGGGGCAGGAGTGTGGGTATATACCCACCAGCTCCCATCCATCATTGCTCACCTCTCCACTGCCCCCTACATCTTCCTCTGCCACTGCAGACGGGATCCGCATGCTCGAAGCCACTATTCACAGTCCACTTAGACCTGTGGCCACTGGGGGGTCCTAAGCAAGACTTGATCAGAAGTTCATCTTACAATACGTGACTAAAGGCTATGAAAGTAGGGCAGCTTGTTTTTAGCGGTATTTATCAGTGTTTAAGAACTACCCTGGCAGTTTCCCACCAGCCCCAGACTGATCACAGAATGCATCCTCTGCTGACTTGGGACTAATATGTTCTCCGGGAGCCCTAGGAGAATCCAGGGCTTCCTCTGTTTTTTTCACAAGACTGTTTGGAAGCTGCTCCTGTTTGAGGCATCCTTTTTCCTATCTGATGGCTTTGCCTGGGATTCTAATGTTTCTCCCACATCTCCCACTGGCTGTGAAGTCCAGAGCTGTTGACTGTTGGTAGCCTCACGTGGCAACTGACTGGCTTTGCCATTGAGTCAAGGGTCTCCATGTAACTCTTACACAGCACAGGACAGGTGTGCGGGGGCTGTGGGGACAGAATGCAGGCTGGCATGCTGGTGTTAAGCCAGAAGGGATGTCAGGCAGGGTCCATGTTTATCTGTGGTGGGTTCTTCAGTGAGTATTTCCGTACCAAGATAGCTTTGACTTTCTTGTGCAAACTTTTAACAACAGTCCTATGAGATGGCATCATTATCCCCAGTATATAGATGGGAAATCAGAGGCTTCGAGTCTACAATCCTCAGCATGGTGCTAGCACCGCCCAGGAGCCAGCTCACCCAGGTTTGCTCCCCCTCATCAGTCCACCACTGCTCTGCTCATGCTTCATGGCCCAGCTCAAGACACCTCATCTGGGAGCATTCCTTATTTCCCCACTCCCTCTTTTCCCCACACCCCATGTTACCTCAACGGGAGACACTGATAGAATGAGGAACCTGGACTCAGATTCAAAGGACATGAGGTTAAATTCTGACCCTGTTGTTCACTCACTGTGTGACCTTAGGGGAGTCACTCCACCTCTCTGAGACTAACCATCCCAATCCAAAGAGTGGGGGATCAATATTTCTACTTCTTCCAGGTGTTGCTACAAGACAGCACAGATTAAGTGCCTGGCATACAATAGGCTCAGTAAACGTAGGTCCCTCCCCTCTTCCTCAGAGGGGTTATCTCCATCAAGATGCCTTTTAATTGGGTTCATAGCAAAGACTAGCTCTTGCCCTTGTCTTTGAGGAATTAAAAAAAAATCCAGTAAAGGGAATCTAAGTGTCCAGACATAGGGAACTATTTACATGAGTCATGTACACTTGTAGCATAGAGTGACAGAAGCCATTAAAAAGCATAGTTAAGGGGCATTTAATCACCTAGCAACATGCTCGACAATATACAGTATAGTAAAGGCTAATACTTCCTGGACACTATTAGCTTCATTTTACAGAAGAAACTGAGGCGGTCTGCGTGAAGAGCCTGAGCTCTTAACTAAGCAATAATGCTACACTATAAAGAAAAAAGAGAAGAACACAAGGCTATATTTAGTTTCACTCCAGTTTTACTGAGGGAGGGAGAGGGAGAGAAAGAGGGAAATTTATTCTGCGTAAGAAAATAGTGAAAGAGAAATAAACTTGAGATTCTGGGCTATACTTTTTCCATCTTTTAAAAAATGTATGTCCACAATGAATTTCTGTAATTATTTAAAAATGCTTACTGTTTTTATTTATTTTAAAAATATACAGTAATTCACTGTTTTCAGTGTCCAGTACTGTGCATTTCCCTAAATGCATATGATCATGTAGCCACCACCACGCTTGAGATACAGGACACCCCACTAGCCCCTAAAACCTCTTTTAGCTGCTACCCTCCTCCTACCCCAATCTTTGACAGCCGCTGATCTGTACAAATAGAATCATATTGTATTGCTTTTACACTCAGAGGAAATTTCTAAAATATTAGAGAAAATAAAATTAAATCCAGAAGAGGCAATAGAAAATCAGACAGAAATCTGATGGACATATACACGTACACACACACTTTGGTTATCCAGAACCGCTGGGGAAGGAGCTATTGCGAAGTGCTGGGCTTTCCTGATGGCGGCTTGGGCCTTCCCCTGCCATGCTGTTGTCACGTAACTGTGTGTCCGGGGATGTGGTTCCCATAGGCGACTCGCCCTGTGCACCCTTCCGCATCAGAATATTCTGAGCCTTTGGAGAGCTTTCCTCGTAGGAATTTATTTTCTCTCAGCTGCCCCTCCCTGAATGGCCCCCTGAGGGCCTCTGGGGGAGCCAATAGGGTGACGCTCTTGCCCTGAATGGCTCCAGGGGTGTGTGCCCTCTGAGTTCCTGTGGGAGGCATGTTAGCTGGAAAGAGCATGGCTTTGGAGTCAGACGGATCAGGTATACAATCCTGAGTACAACTGAATGCACCAAATTGCACGTGTGTGTATAAAATGGGCTCCTAACCTTATAGGATCGTGGTGGCCATTGAGTGAGACACTATACTTTGAATGTCTGGACTTTGATAAATGTGAGCTCTGTTCTTCCTGTGTGGCTCCTTTTTGCTTTTTTCAGGGGATATTGGTGCCTTGAGGGACCCTTCTCCTTCCTTCTAATTTGGGGTTTTGAGTTTTCCACCAAATGGGAAAGCAGAAACTAAAACTGTTAGAATTGTGTCTAAACTAAGAGTCAAGGGATTGTAAGTGACTGATTCTTAGCTGTGTGTACTTTGTAACTTAAGTTCGCCTTTCTTGCCTCTTTTGTTTCTTGGCCTGGGGCTGCTGAGCCAACGTAGTTGGATAATTGGGTTTTCTGGGTAGATGAAGCATGGGGGATAATGCTAATTATGCCATCTTTTCCTGGTCATCCTGGTTTTGTTTAGGCCTCAACCCTGTGGGTCCAGAGTCCCAGATTCGCTACTCCATGATCAATGCCCCCAACATCACTAATGATTACATTTCCTTGGATATCAATGTAAGTGCATCCTTGGCAGCCAGAGCTGGGGGCTGGCTGCCTTTGGAGTCCCTGGTGGCCCAGGAGATTCCTGAGGGAGAGGGTTGTTGAGGGGAGAGGAGCTGGAATGGCAGTCTGGGTGGGACATGGCACATGGGCAAAGTGTGCAGCTGGAGGCTGTGGAAGTGTGAGGGTAGCATCTTGGAGTGGGTGGCGTCTCGGAGCCTAGGTCCTGCGATGGAGCCCTCTCTGAGGCGCCGCGGCCTTTCTCCTTCTCCCCACTGCCAACCCCATAGGCTGTTCTCTTCCTGCTGGGCAAGCCCATCGTCCTGCCCGGGGATGCCACCCCCTTCAGGCTGCCAGAGCATGTGGGCCGCGATGGTGCCATGGCAACCGTGGGCCTCTCCCTGGACCTGTTTGACTCTGCCTTCCTGCTGCTGCAGAAGGCTGGTTCCCTCAACCTGGACATCACGGGGCAGCTGGTGAGGGCCGGACCTGCTGCCCAGGGCGTGGGGAGGGGTCTTCCTCTCTCTGGGGAGATGCCGCTGAGTTCCAGTCATCTATGGGTGGGGTAGCTGGAGCTTTCGGCCACAGGGTGGCTGTCGGAAGGGTTCCATGGGGCTGTGGGGAGGCAAGGGGTGGTCTGTCTTGGGAAGCAGCCGCCCTAATCCTGCCGTGGTGTGGGGGCTGATTTCAGAAGTCGGATGACAATCCTCTCAACACCTCCATGCTGGGCCAGCACATCCCTGAGGTTGGTGACATTTCTGCTCATTCCAGGGACTGAGGCCTGGGATTGGGGTGGCAGGCTCTCTGGGATGTGGGGTCTCTCAGCAGAGTATGTGTCCCAAGTGGGGTTCACCATCTGCCCTTCCATCTGCACCTCAGCCCTCCATCTGCCTGGACATTACACTGTCTTCTCCTTCCTATTCCTCCCCTCCTTGAGCTCCCATGGCCCCTGCACTCCCCACTCCATGCACAGATCACACAGGCCGTGCCTGTTTTCCTGCCTCCAATCCTCAGGTTGAGTGTCCCCAAGGGCAAGTACCTGAGCCCACCTCTGTGGCCCAGTGCTGTATAAACAGCGGCTTGACCAGCGTCTGAGGAGGGATGGGCGAGAGCCACCTGCCTTTGCCCCCAGTGCCCTCCTCCTGTCCCCTTTCCACTCCTGAAGGTGGCCCGCCAGTTCCCCGAGCCCATGCCTGTGGTGCTCAAGGTGCGGCTCAGCGCCACACCCACGGCCACGCTCCATGCCGACACGGCCACGCTGCGGCTGCAGCCCTTTGTGGAGGTCCTGGCTGTGGCCTCCAACTCAGCGTTCCAGTCCCTCTTCTCCCTCGATTTGGTGAGTGAGGTGGGCCAGGCTGCGCTGGGTGAGAGGGCGGATGGCTCTCAAACCTCACTTCCAGCCACATTCTCTTCGTGTGCTCTGCTCTCTCACACTGGTCTTCTCACTGTTCCTTCGGTATGCTATGACTTTCTTGCCTCGGGTCCTTTGCATGTGCTGTACCCTGTGCCTAAGACATTCTTCTCCAGGCTCTTGGCATGGCTGGCTTCTTCTCATCTCTTAGGTCTCAGCTTAAATGTTGTAACATTCTTCATGGAAGCCTTCCTAGACCACCAGGAGAAAGATGGTCCCCGTTAGCCATCTCCGCACCACCACTCGGCATTCAGGGCACCTGCCACTCTCTGAAAGAATCCTGTCGGCTTACTTTGATAATTGCTCTTCTCCTCCCATGGCCTGTGGGGTTTTCCCAAGGGTAGAGAACTGGTCTACCTTGTCACACTGACTTCGTTCTCAGTGCTCTGTGTAGGGCCTGCCACATGCAGGTGCTCCACAAATGCCTGAATGAGTTGGGAGGATGGGTGAGAGGCTGGGGTAACTGGTGGCCAAGTGAAGACTCCCACATAGCTCTGTGACCTTTGACCCTGCTCTCCCTACATGCCCAGGCAGTGAATCTGACCCTCAAGTTCTCTGTGTCCAAGGTGAAGCTTCAGGGGAACACGACTGTGCTCGGGTAAGCAAGGTCTCCTTGGCCCAGCAGCCTCGGTGTGTTCCTCTGTGCAATGGGTGCACAAGCACCCATCACAGTGTCAGAGGAGCCTGGGATGCAGCAGGTGTGGTACAGGGATGGGGGCACTAGGCTGCTTCTCTTTCAGGGATATCCAGCACACTGTGGCTGCTTCCAATGTGGGCTTCATTGATGTGAGTGTGGGGCTAGGGTCTCCAGAGACCCCGTCACTGGGTGGGGCATGCCTTGAGCCTGGGGAAAAGGGGTATGTGCATGTGTGCTCGTGACCATCTGTCCATCAGTCAGCACCAACAGGACAGCCAGCCACCTGGTGTCAGGCACCAGTTGGTGACACAATGAGTGTCGGTCAGTCAGTGCTGGTCTCTCAGCCTCCCCTCAGGTGAGCAGTTCCTGGGTGTCCAGTGCTCAGAGGCTCACCCAGCCCTGGGGGTATCTGGGCTTTGCTTGAAGCCAGGACAGGGGTGACCTGCCCTCTTCCCTCCCCCTGTGCCTCTGCTGCCTGTGTGCCTGTCTGCGTGCTCATGTGTGGTCCACCTGTGCATCTCCTCTGGCCCCTTGCTGGGGTGGGCCTGTGGCCTCTCACCATCCTGGTTCCGCACCTGCAGACGAATCAAATGCACATGCTCATGGGCTCTCTGTTCGAGAAGCCCCTTCTGGACCACCTCAACGGTGAGCCTTGCCTTCCACCCCAGTGTGGCCCCTCTGGCCCCTTCCTGCCCCACACCTGCTCCAACCTCCATCCCAGCCGCCTTCCCACCTAGGCTCAGGGGTGAAGAGGGTGGCCTCTGGGGTCCAGCTGCCTGTGTGCGTATCTTGGCTCAGCTGTTTGGCAGCTGTATGATCTTAGTTAAGTTCCTTTCTCTCCATAAGCCTCAGATTTCCCTTCTCTAAAGTGGGTTTAATAATAACGGCTCCCACCCAGTGTCTGGATGCATGTGAGGACTCCAGGACAGAGCCATCTCCAGGTGGCACTCTGTTACTGCCTCCTGGCTGATCTCGGTTTCTCCTTTCCTTCCTGCAGCTCTCTTGGGCATAGGGGTTGCCCTCCCCAACATACTCAACCTTCACTACGCCTCCCCTGAAGTCTTTGTTTATGAGGTGAGGCCTTTGGGTGTGACCAGAGGGGCCTTTTCCACCCTTGGAGGGAAGCTGGGCACAGTGAGGCAGGAGTTCCTCCTGCCCTTCTCCCTGAGAGTGCAAATGCTGGGGTCGCAGGATCTCAGGTCCCTGCCAAGACCATGCCATGAATCTTTAGCTATAATGAAATGGAAACTTCAGGATGTCCAGAGACATTGGTGCAAGGGTCTCTGCCACCTTTTAGTCCTCATCAAAAATCACACAGGCCACACTCGGAGTTCAGGCCTTCGACTGTCCCAGGGTTCTGTGCCCTGGAAAAGGCACGGCCCCTTTGGGGTATCTGGGGGAGGGTGACAGAAGGCCTTCTCTAGCTTTGTACTCAAACCTGTGCAGTCTGGATGGGAGTCAGGCCTCCTGACACTTCTAAAATTGCCTTCCCTGATCAGAAATTGTGGGCCCAGAGTGAAATTCAATCACTACAGCCCATGGTGAGATCTTACAACTTCTTTCTGTTTCACCTGAAATATAAAAGGATAATAGTCTAATTCTCTCAACAAGACATGCATAGGGTAGAAAGCTTAGCCAAGGTCCCTTGAGCCCAACATCTGTGTGTGTTAGTCACACCCCGGGAGTGGGGCCAGCTGATGTCTTTCCAAGGAGAAGGCCCTTGTTGCTTAAGAACTATGGTCCCAAGGCACTCGGGTGATCCTTCCCCCTACAAAAGAACAATTGAAACACATTGGAGCTCAGGAAGTTCCCTAAGTTTCCCACAAACAGGCACGGTCAGTGGCTGACTCATCTTGCCACTCACAAATCCAGCCAACTGGGTCTGAAGTCAAAGGTCTGTAGAACAGCACTGTCTCATAGAACTTTCCATGAGGGTGGAAACCTGCAACATCTAACCCAGTAGCCACTAGCAGCCACTAGACACATGTGGCTGTTGCGCACTTGAAATGTGGACAGTGCTATTAAAGGAGCTGAATTTTAAATTTCACTAAATTTTAATTAACTGAACTGTAGTTAGCCACAAGTGGCTAATGGCTACCATACTGAACCATGGATGAGCTACACATGGGCCCAGACTGCATTTGGCTTGCTCTCTGCTGGGTCCCCAGCACCTAGCACAGGGCTCAGCTCATAATAGAGGCTTAATGAAGATTTGTTGAATGAATAAATGAAAGATCAGCAGGCCCCCAGGATGTTTCTGCAGTCCAGTGTAGAGAGTGGGGGATGCATGCAGAGTTCCTGGTGCTGCTGGGGAGACTTGAACTTGGAGAAGATGCTCAGTGGTCTGGACTCCCAGTCGTAAAACAGGGTTGGTCCCTACTATATACAGAGCACATGTGAAGCTCCAGCCCCATGCTGCGTGCTTTGCCTGCTCACTGGCTGTATCCTCACAGTATAGCCTTGGGAGGTGGGTGCTGCTACCACTCCCAAGTGACAGCAGGAAACTGAGGCCCAGAGAGGTAACGGACTGCCCTCAGGACACACAGCAAGAGGGGCACAGCATGAGCTCAGAGCCAGGCTGAGGGCATGGCTGGGGGTCAGACCAGTCCTTGTATGGCCTCTGATCTGGCTGGTGGTTCTCTTTGCACTTTAGGGCTACGTCGTGATATCCAGCAGACTCTTCTTCCAGCGCTGAGGTGGGACCACTGGGAGAGCTAAGAGTGGGCCCTCTTGCTGCTCTGGGACCCTTTTGCCTCAAGCCACTTGGGAAACTGAGGCAAAGCCACACTTGGTCATCACCAGCAAGTTGGACAGCCCAGCTGGACTGCTTAATTCCATCCCTGCCCTTTCCTCTCCCCATTCCTATTCCCTCCTTTCTCCATCCCCCTCCTTGTGGTGATCAGACGGCTCCTCTGGGCTGTACAGACCTGTCCCCTCTTGCATTAAACATTTCCTCTTGATCTGCAACTTGCAGCGAAGCCCAGCAAACTCTTTGCCTACCTAAGGCCAGTTTCCCGCATGGAGACCCTGGGTCCTGTCTGTTGCTGGAGCCACCAGAGCTGCCTCGGAGAAGAGAAAGATGGGACCACATCTCTGTTGATTCCATCACCTCCTTGCCCAGAGGAGCTCATATTTTGAAAGGGGACCTTGGAGAGCAGTGTGGATGCACTGGAAGTTATGGATGTCATGGTGGCACTTTAGGCACTGGGTCCTCACCTGGTGACGTTTGCCCCCTACAGAGTCGTGTCCCATCTTGTTCCTTGAACCTCATAAGATCCCCGTGAGTCAGGCAGGCACGGTGTGGAGTTGCACTTCACAGATGCGGGGACTAAGGCCCAGTGAGGAGAGGACTGAGCCGAGTCCCAGGGCTGGGCGGTGGCAGCTCCCTGGGGCTGCCACCTCCCTGAATCCAGACATAGATGCTGGCTCCCACTTCACTCACCAGCACCCTTACCTGGCATTTGTCCTTGGGTCACAAGCCTCAGGTGATGAGGAATTCACTGCCTTCTCAGCCAGTTTCTCCATCTTTGGTTTACTGGGGTCATGAGCAAGTGTTTTGTTCCTGAGCTGTGGCCTCACCAAACATGTCTAATTCCTTTACCCGTCAAACCCAGCGGGTCACACAGGACAAGATAGCCTAGGGAAGACAGAGGGATGCAAATACTGGCAAGCCAAAGCCATGTGGTTTTCTCCTCCTGATAAGCTAATCTCTTAGCCAGACATAGTATTCCTTCCTGCCTAGATATACTAGATTCACATTCTGTTTATGTTTCCCTGGAGTAGAATGTGCCCGAATTTCCACCATCAGTAAGCAAGTCCTTGGCACGGTGTGGTGCTAGCCTCTCTTCTATAAGGGTTCTAGGTTCATCCCTAAAGTCTCAGTGTGACAGGCGAAGGGGCCTGGAACCAACCCAGTTCTGGGGAGGTGAGGCCATAGGGATAGTGCTGAGGGGGTGGAAAGGGCCAGACTATAAAATCTAACTTTATGAGTCTGCTCAGGACAGCGTGGCTTTTATTTCATTTGGTGCTTAATTCATTTATTCATTAATCCTACTTTTGTTCGGACTTAATAGAAGATCAGCCCAAGGCTAGGTGGTTTGGAATATGGGAAAAACAAAAATTTTAAGATACAAACCCAGTCCATAAGAAAAAGATCATGAGCTCAGTATGTCGGGTCCAGCCATTAAGTGGTCAGTCCAGTGACCCAACCACCTTTCCTTCCTTCCTTCCTCCCTCTGGCCTCCAGGGCCTCTGTGCACAGTGGGCACAGGGGCTTCCCTGAACTACCAGACCTGTGGGCTCCCTGGGGAATGGATGAGGAAAAACCCCAGTCTTCTGGCAGGAAAAACCTCCTCTGGCATTGTTCATCACCCTCCAGGAGCCCCCAGCCAGGCCTCCCAAGGGCCTCACGGAGAGCAGAGCAGGGCCTGGACACCGTGAGGCTGCAGTTCCAGCTCCAGCCCTGTGGCCAGCTCGCTGTGTGGCCCTGGAGTCACCAGTCTTCATTGCCCTCCAGGTTTGGACCTTGATAGAAATACCTCCCTTGATAGAAATACCTCCCTTGATAGAAATACCTCCCTCTCTCTGCTTGCGAATGAAATACCTGCCACCTGGCATTTCCCACCTCCCAGCATTTCCCCCAGGAGGGTCTCTCTGAGAAGCCCGCACTGCCATTAGCTCCTAGGTCCCAGGCAAGTCTCAGAGGGGCACAAGTCCTGAGGAGCCAGCCCACGTCTCCCAGGCCTTTGCACCAGGGGGCTGCTGCCTGCCCTGCCTCTCTGTGCCCTGCAGGGCTGGCTCTGCTCACCCCTCACCCCTCAAGTATCAGCTCCCACATGCCCTGCTCTAGGGGTCTTTGACCCTGACAGCAACCCTGTTCTTCCCTCCCCATCCCATCACTCCCGGTCAGTGGCTTCCACCACCCTGCCTCCTCCAGAATGGCCTGGCTGTGTAGCTGCCGCCTTGCTGAGGAGACCCCAACTGCCTTGTTTGCTGCAGCATCCCTAGCGCCCCACACAGGCCTGGCACACCATAGGTCCTCAATAAGTCTTTGTGGAAGGAACAGATGAGTGCCAGCTGTGCGTCCAGCCTTAGAGGAGGCTCTGGGGCTAGGGAGAGGCAGTGAGAGCCCTGATGCCTGCGTGGGTAGCTGCATCCCCTGCCAGTGCCCGCGCTCGTGCAGCCTCTCAGGCTCTCAGCCACCCCCATCCTCCATGCTGTTGACGTTGGAACAGACTGAAGCGTCATGTGAGCACTGGGGCACCTGTTCTTCGGACCTCTAGATAATTATCTTGGCCTTATTAAGCCCTTAATTATCCAAGCAGCTAATCAGGCTCCCAAATATAAGGGCTTCCTCATCCCGGGGTCGGGAGGCAGGGTTCAGGCATCTGCAGGACATCCCTGGGCTCGGCAAGGTAAGGACAGGCCCTACTCTGTGGGACTCCTCCCTGAGAGGGTCTTATCCAGCTCTGTCCTTTTACAGATGAGAACACTGAGACCCAGGGAGGGTAAGGGACTTGCCTGAGATCACACAGCAAGTGGGTGGCAGGGCCAGGGCTTGGCGTTATGTTCGACCCCTACCCAGTGCTCCCCACCTGACAGGAAGCCACAGGACATTGCAATCTTCAAATATTCTAGGGCTTAGGCAAAATCAAGGAGACAGCTGATTTGTGGGGCCTCCTTGTGCTCCTGCTTTGCAGGAGCTCAGAGCTGGACAGGGGCAACAGGAGCAGGTTAGGGGGCACCTAGGAGCATTCGCAAGCAGAGAGAGGGAGGAAAGGACTCCAGGTGGAAGAAAAGCATGAGCAAAGATTGGGGGTGGGGATAGCAGGAGACCCTTATCTTGGGGTGGGATGGGTTAGATACACAGTCAAGTTCAAGCTGTAGTCTTTGAGCCTGGGGGTGGTTGGGGGTTGAGGGGAGGCTTCCTGGTGGAGGAGGCAAAGGCTGAAATTAGGATTTGAGAGATGTGTAGGTTATGGATGGGTGGGTGGAGGGCTTCTCAGAGGGAGGGACAGCTTAGACAAAAGCACAGCACAGACAGAAACAAAACCCTGCTATTGACTGTCTCAGAAACACTTGCATGACCATGTTATCCCAAGCCACTTACTATTCCAAGAGGGTGAAAAACCCTGCCTGAGTGGCCTTCACACTTGGCCTCAGTTCTGGCTTGGGAATGGGGAAACTGGGTGGCGCTCTGTCTCAGGGCTTAGTCTCCCCAACTGAGAGATGGGGCTGGGCCTGGAGGAGACCTTTACCCAGCCCCTCCCAGCTCCGTCACTGCACTGAACTTCACAGTCCTTCCAGGGATGATTTTTAAAGAGATTTGGCACGGGACATGCAAGTGTTTGCAAGTGTGTGCTTGCAGTGGTTGAGGAAACACCAAGACTGATGACTGTCAAGCCTAGATAGATATTTAAAAATTGAATGAGATGAGAAATAGATTACACTTCCGTTTAGCAAATGTTGATTGTAGGCTCGAATGGTCTCCTCTGGCTTTTTAAATTTTGGCTACTTCTCATCCTTTAGGTCTCAGCCTAAGTATCTCCTCTTTAGAGAGTCCTTCCCTGAACAATCCCCACCCCGCATGTGCATGTGAGCATGGATGCACGTGCACGCACACACTCACATTTTATCCCTTTCTATTGCTTCTCTTTAAGATTTGGGAGGAGTAGGACTCTCCCTACCATGTATGTGCAGCCTGGTCTGCCTGGCACATAGTAGGCACTCAATAATGCTAACTGAATGAATGAATGAGTGAATGAATGCAGGCCTAGGCTCTGATTGGGGAGGCGGGCCCCCAGCAGGCACCTGTGTCTGTCATGGATCAGTGCAGCCCTCAACGGCTAAGCCCTTGCCAGCAGGAGTCCAGCTCGAACTCTGCATCTCCAAGTGGCACAGGCCAGGCCCCCTGGCCCCACCTTGATTCTTTTCAGCCACAGCTCAAACCTGAAATAAACATTTGGCCTCTGGTTGGGAGAATTTCAGGTCTTGGTAAGTAGGAGGCAGAGGTTCCCAGGGTCCAGGATTGTGATAGGTATTTCACAGGTGACTTGAAGGACCCAGGATAAGAGGTCCTTTTTCAGTTACCTATGTACCTGCTGTGAGACTTTGGGGCCATGCCCAAGTTTCCCTGTGGTGAGGTGATGAGATTGCTGTAAGTGAGACTGAGCTGGAGGAGGTGAGGGATGCTATTGGCTGTAGTGTCAGGATTGGGGGAGCAGAGGGACCCTCTTCCCATACTTCCATGGGAGGTCCCCAAGCCGGGACCAGGTAGGAATCCCCTCTGCATCCCCAGCATTCCTGGCACTGAGCCACACTTGAGCTCATGAAAAAATGCAGCTGATAATGCAGGCTGGGTAGAATGCAGCATGTCCACGGATGAGCAAACAGGCTTTGAGAGAGAAGTGACCTGCCTAGGGTGATTCCAGAGGCCCTGGGTTTAAGAGGACACTGATCCCTCTGGGAGGCAGTAACGAGGTTTGCTGTACTGGCTGGAGTCCAAAGGCTCCTGGATCCCCAAGATCATCCAGAGGGCCCAGTCTGCTCTAGAGCATGGGAGGTTCCCAGGGGAGCCAGGGTCTGGTGGGCTGCACCCCATTCAGGCTCCGTGGCAGCGGAGGAACCATGCTGCGGATCCTGTTTCTGACACTCTGCGGCCTGCTGACCCGCACACGAGCTGACCCTGGGGCACTGCTGCGGTTGGGCACGGACATCATGAACCACGGTGAGCTCATGGGCCTGGGGGCTGGGACAGTACCTAGTGGATGTTCATGTTTGCACGGCCTTGAGCATCCTGTAATCCTCAAAATAAACTTATAAACAATATGTTATCATCCCTCCGGTTTACAGAGGGGGGAAACTGATGCCCAGAGAAAATGAGATGACTTTCCCAAGGTCCCCCTACAAGTTGGAGGCAGAGCCAGAAATCCTGCTTCCTTGGAGCCCCTTCCCCTTCACTTGGCCCTGATGGCTGTGGTTGGCAGCCACAAGTGGGGTGTAAGGATGACAGACATGAGCCAAATCCCAACTCTGCCAGTAATTTGCTGTGTGACTTCAGGCAAGTCACTTACCCTCTCTGTGTTGCTGTTGTCTCTCTGTAAATGTAAAAGGTAAATAAATGTAAAATAGGGTGACCAGTCCTTACCTGGCAGATCAAATAAAGCGTGAGATTAAAATCCCCTTGGGGGAGCTTTAGTAAAATTTATTTTCTACCTCTGAGCTCCATGACTTCAAGGGAAATGGTCACATCCAGAACCAAAGGATGACAGTTCTATCAGCTCAGTATTTGTCTCCTCTCCTGGAATGGCCTCTATTATAGAGTGTTTCTGGCACAGAGTCATTTGGGGTTGGGGCTGCCAGGCCTGGGGAATCAGAATGCCTCAATTTCATGCACAGAATCAGCACTTTCACAAGCTCCCGAATGAGTTCCCTGGTCACCAGGTTTGGGAGTAGCTGTGCCCCAGGATAAAGCCGACACTCTAGCTCGGGGTGCAAGGCCTCCATGAGAGGACCCCTGCAAACTGTTCTGAGTTCTCTGTCATGTCTCTCTCTGCCCTCCAGCCATGCTGAGTTGCCTACTCGGGCCTCCCCATGCCCCCCCCCTTCGCTACCTCTGCATTTGCTGTGCTCTCTGCCCGGCGTGGCCTCCTTTTTCCCTTTGCTTCTTGGTGAAAATTCCTATCCCTCCTTTCAAAGACCAGCTGATTTGTCACCTCCTCCTAGAAGACTTCCCCTTCTCTTCCCTTCCTAGCCCAAACCCCACCTGTGGTTCCTCCAGCTGTCTGCACTTATTATGGCTCTTGTCACTCATTTCTGTCATTGCTGGTGGCCCTGTCTCCCCCTTGAGGCTAGAGAGGAGAGCAGGGGCTGGGCGTGACTCACCTCTGGGTCTCGGGGTTGCCCAGCCCATGGCAGGACACAGTGAATGTGGGGCACCTGGTGGAGCGATCTGCAAATGGCCTGGGCCTGGGATGCCTGAGAGTTTGGCCCAGGGCAGGGAAGCAGTGGGGATGCCTGGTGAGTGTCTCTGGACCCTCCCCCCTTCCAGAGGTGCAGAGTGCCCTGGATGAGAGTCATATCCTGGAGAAGATGGCAGCTGAGGCGGGCAAGAAACGGCCAGGGATGAAACCCATCAAGGGCATCACCAAGTGAGCAGGGGGTGGCAGCTGGGGCAGGAGGTAGTGGGGAATGCCATGCCAGGACCTGAGAAGGCAGGAGAGAGAGCTGGTGCAGGACACAGGGACTCTTCCCTGCCTTGCTGTTGGCTTGCTTTGTGACCTTGGGTAGGTCACTGCTCCTGTCCTGGCCTTAGACATCCACTAGGGTCATTGGGAGGGGAAAGTGAGGTTGAAAAGCCAAACTCCAACTCCCTGTATGCAGCAGGGGCTCGCTGAAAGAACATGAAATTGAGTGAAAAATAATCAAGTGGCAAAGCCAGAAAGGCATCAACAATAATCTAATGATGGGGCAAATTTGGTCCATTGTAAGGGGCATATGGAATTGATTAGTAGGTGCTGCCTGGAATGATGTGCTGGAGAGGGTTCAATTAGCAATGTCTGCCAAGAGCTCAGGATGGGCAGGTGGAGGTATATGTGTCACATCTTTGTTACCCTGAATCTTGACTGGTGGCTCCCAGCCATGGGTGATTTTGCCTCCAAGGGACATTTAGCAAAGTCTGGTTTCTGGATATATTTTTGGTTGTCATGACTTGCTGGAGTGTTGGGGGAAGATGCATCTAGTGTCTCTAGAGGATAGAGGCCAAGGGTGCCACTAAACATCCTACAGGGCACAGGACAGTCCCCCACAACAAAGAATTATCCTGTCCAAAATGTTAATGATGCCACTGTTGATAAATTCTTATCTAAGCAAACCTCCCCATTTTTCCTATGGGGAAACTGAGGCCCACAGAAGGGAAGGAAGCAGCCCCAAATCACAGTCATCCCATTGTCCTGACTCACACATGATGAGTGCTTCTGTGTACTAATTGGTTCATGTCTAGTCTTTTTGTTTGTGTTTCATGATGGCTCCACAAGGCAGGCTTGTCTCTGTGATATGGCATGAGGAGTTTATCCAAGGCCTCCCAAGCAAGGTGGTGGAGGAGTGGATGGAGGGCCTGGGTCTTGCTTGCCCAGTTCTCATTGCTATGGATGTCTGTCCCCTCCCAGTCTGAAGGTGAAGGACGTGCAGCTGCCTGTTATCACATTGAACTTCATACCTGGGGTGGGCATTTTCCAGTGTGTGTCCACAGGTATGACCATCACTGGCAAGAGGTGAGTATGGCAGGTGCGGGGAGGTGGGAAGGGGAATGGAATCCTTGTCTCACTCTTACAGGCATATTTATTGAGTAGCTACTGTGTCTCGCCTGGCTGCTGTCTTTGCACCAGGGGGCTGCTGCCTGCCCTGCCTCTCTGTGCCCTGCAGGGCTGGCTCTGCTCACCCCTCACCCCTCAAGTATCAGCTCCCACATGCCCTGCTCTAGGGGTCTTTGACCCTGACAGCAACCCTGTTCTTCCCTCCCCATCCCATCACTCCCGGTCAGTGGCTTCCACCACCCTGCCTCCTCCAGAATGGCCTGGCTGTGTAGCTGCCGCCTTGCTGAGGAGACCCCAACTGCCTTGTTTGCTGCAGCATCCCTAGCGCCCCACACAGGCCTGGCACACCATAGGTCCTCAATAAGTCTTTGTGGAAGGAACAGATGAGTGCCAGCTGTGCGTCCAGCCTTAGAGGAGGCTCTGGGGCTAGGGAGAGGCAGTGAGAGCCCTGATGCCTGCGTGGGTAGCTGCATCCCCTGCCAGTGCCCGCGCTCGTGCAGCCTCTCAGGCTCTCAGCCACCCCCATCCTCCATGCTGTTGACGTTGGAACAGACTGAAGCGTCATGTGAGCACTGGGGCACCTGTTCTTCGGACCTCTAGATAATTATCTTGGCCTTATTAAGCCCTTAATTATCCAAGCAGCTAATCAGGCTCCCAAATATAAGGGCTTCCTCATCCCGGGGTCGGGAGGCAGGGTTCAGGCATCTGCAGGACATCCCTGGGCTCGGCAAGGTAAGGACAGGCCCTACTCTGTGGGACTCCTCCCTGAGAGGGTCTTATCCAGCTCTGTCCTTTTACAGATGAGAACACTGAGACCCAAGGAGGGTAAGGGACTTGCCTGAGATCACACAGCAAGTGGGTGGCAGGGCCAGGGCTTGGCGTTATGTTCGACCCCTACCCAGTGCTCCCCACCTGACAGGAAGCCACAGGACATTGCAATCTTCAAATATTCTAGGGCTTAGGCAAAATCAAGGAGACAGCTGATTTGTGGGGCCTCCTTGTGCTCCTGCTTTGCAGGAGCTCAGAGCTGGACAGGGGCAACAGGAGCAGGTTAGGGGGCACCTAGGAGCATTCGCAAGCAGAGAGAGGGAAGAAAGGACTCCAGGTGGAAGAAAAGCATGAGCAAAGATTGGGGGTGGGGATAGCAGGAGACCCTTATCTTGGGGTGGGATGGGTTAGATACACAGTCAAGTTCAAGCTGTAGTCTTTGAGCCTGGGGGTGGTTGGGGGTTGAGGGGAGGCTTCCTGGTGGAGGAGGCAAAGGCTGAAATTAGGATTTGAGAGATGTGTAGGTTATGGATGGGTGGGTGGAGGGCTTCTCAGAGGGAGGGACAGCTTAGACAAAAGCACAGCACAGACAGAAACAAAACCCTGCTATTGACTGTCTCAGAAACACTTGCATGACCATGTTATCCCAAGCCACTTACTATTCCAAGAGGGTGAAAAACCCTGCCTGAGTGGCCTTCACACTTGGCCTCAGTTCTGGCTTGGGAATGGGGAAACTGGGTGGCGCTCTGTCTCAGGGCTTAGTCTCCCCAACCGAGAGATGGGGCTGGGCCTGGAGGAGACCTTTACCCAGCCCCTCCCAGCTCCGTCACTGCACTGAACTTCACAGTCCTTCCAGGGATGATTTTTAAAGAGATTTGGCACGGGACATGCAAGTGTTTGCAAGTGTGTGCTTGCAGTGGTTGAGGAAACACCAAGACTGATGACTGTCAAGCCTAGATAGATATTTAAAAATTGAATGAGATGAGAAATAGATTACACTTCCGTTTAGCAAATGTTGATTGTAGGCTCGAATGGTCTCCTCTGGCTTTTTAAATTTTGGCTACTTCCCATCCTTTAGGTCTCAGCCTAAGTATCTCCTCTTTAGAGAGTCCTCCCCTGAACAATCCCCACCCCGCATGTGCATGTGAGCATGGATGCACGTGCACGCACACACTCACATTTTATCCCTTTCTATTGCTTCTCTTTAAGATTTGGGAGGAGTAGGACTCTCCCTACCATGTATGTGCAGCCTGGTCTGCCTGGCACATAGTAGGCACTCAATAATGCTAACTGAATGAATGAATGAGTGAATGAATGCAGGCCTAGGCTCTGATTGGGGAGGCGGGCCCCCAGCAGGCACCTGTGTCTGTCATGGATCAGTGCAGCCCTCAACGGCTAAGCCCTTGCCAGCAGGAGTCCAGCTCGAACTCTGCATCTCCAAGTGGCACAGGCCAGGCCCCCTGGCCCCACCTTGATTCTTTTCAGCCACAGCTCAAACCTGAAATAAACATTTGGCCTCTGGTTGGGAGAATTTCAGGTCTTGGTAAGTAGGAGGCAGAGGTTCCCAGGGTCCAGGATTGTGATAGGTATTTCACAGGTGACTTGAAGGACCCAGGATAAGAGGTCCTTTTTCAGTTACCTATGTACCTGCTGTGAGACTTTGGGGCCATGCCCAAGTTTCCCTGTGGTGAGGTGATGAGATTGCTGTAAGTGAGACTGAGCTGGAGGAGGTGAGGGATGCTATTGGCTGTAGTGTCAGGATTGGGGGAGCAGAGGGACCCTCTTCCCATACTTCCGTGGGAGGTCCCCAAGCCGGGACCAGGTAGGAATCCCCTCTGCATCCCCAGCATTCCTGGCACTGAGCCACACTTGAGCTCATGAAAAAATGCAGCTGATAATGCAGGCTGGGTAGAATGCAGCATGTCCACGGATGAGCAAACAGGCTTTGAGAGAGAAGTGACCTGCCTAGGGTGATTCCAGAGGCCCTGGGTTTAAGAGGACACTGATCCCTCTGGGAGGCAGTAACGAGGTTTGCTGTACTGGCTGGAGTCCAAAGGCTCCTGGATCCCCAAGATCATCCAGAGGGCCCAGTCTGCTCTAGAGCATGGGAGGTTCCCAGGGGAGCCAGGGTCTGGTGGGCTGCACCCCATTCAGGCTCCGTGGCAGCGGAGGAACCATGCTGCGGATCCTGTTTCTGACACTCTGCGGCCTGCTGACCCGCACACGAGCTGACCCTGGGGCACTGCTGCGGTTGGGCACGGACATCATGAACCACGGTGAGCTCATGGGCCTGGGGGCTGGGACAGTACCTAGTGGATGTTCATGTTTGCACGGCCTTGAGCATCCTGTAATCCTCAAAATAAACTTATAAGCAATATGTTATCATCCCTCCGGTTTACAGAGGGGGGAAACTGATGCCCAGAGAAAATGAGATGACTTTCCCAAGGTCCCCCTACAAGTTGGAGGCAGAGCCAGAAATCCTGCTTCCTTGGAGCCCCTTCCCCTTCACTTGGCCCTGATGGCTGTGGTTGGCAGCCACAAGTGGGGTGTAAGGATGACAGACATGAGCCAAATCCCAACTCTCCCAGTAATTTGCTGTGTGACTTCAGGCAAGTCACTTACCCTCTCTGTGTTGCTGTTGTCTCTCTGTAAATGTAAAAGGTAAATAAATGTAAAATAGGGTGACCAGTCCTTACCTGGCAGATCAAATAAAGCGTGAGATTAAAATCCCCTTGGGGGAGCTTTAGTAAAATTTATTTTCTACCTCTGAGCTCCATGACTTCAAGGGAAATGGTCACATCCAGAACCAAAGGATGACAGTTCTATCAGCTCAGTATTTGTCTCCTCTCCTGGAATGGCCTCTATTATAGAGTGTTTCTGGCACAGAGTCATTTGGGGTTGGGGCTGCCAGGCCTGGGGAATCAGAATGCCTCAATTTCATGCACAGAATCAGCACTTTCACAAGCTCCCGAATGAGTTCCCTGGTCACCAGGTTTGGGAGTAGCTGTGCCCCAGGATAAAGCCGACACTCTAGCTCGGGGTGCAAGGCCTCCATGAGAGGACCCCTGCAAACTGTTCTGAGTTCTCTGTCATGTCTCTCTCTGCCCTCCAGCCATGCTGAGTTGCCTACTCGGGCCTCCCCATGCCCCCCCCCTTCGCTACCTCTGCATTTGCTGTGCTCTCTGCCCGGCGTGGCCTCCTTTTTCCCTTTGCTTCTTGGTGAAAATTCCTATCCCTCCTTTCAAAGACCAGCTGATTTGTCACCTCCTCCTAGAAGACTTCCCCTTCTCTTCCCTTCCTAGCCCAAACCCCACCTGTGGTTCCTCCAGCTGTCTGCACTTATTATGGCTCTTGTCACTCATTTCTGTCATTGCTGGTGGCCCTGTCTCCCCCTTGAGGCTAGAGAGGAGAGAAGGGGCTGGGCGTGACTCACCTCTGGGTCTCGGGGTTGCCCAGCCCATGGCAGGACACAGTGAATGTGGGGCACCTGGTGGAGAGATCTGCAAATGGCCTGGGCCTGGGATGCCTGAGAGTTTGGCCCAGGGCAGGGAAGCAGTGGGGATGCCTGGTGAGTGTCTCTGGACCCTCCCCCCTTCCAGAGGTGCAGAGTGCCCTGGATGAGAGTCATATCCTGGAGAAGATGGCAGCTGAGGCGGGCAAGAAACGGCCAGGGATGAAACCCATCAAGGGCATCACCAAGTGAGCAGGGGGTGGCAGCTGGGGCAGGAGGTAGTGGGGAATGCCATGCCAGGACCTGAGAAGGCAGGAGAGAGAGCTGGTGCAGGACACAGGGACTCTTCCCTGCCTTGCTGTTGGCTTGCTTTGTGACCTTGGGTAGGTCACTGCTCCTGCCTGGGCCTTAGACATCCACTAGGGTCATTGGGAGGGGAAAGTGAGGTTGAAAAGCCAAACTCCAACTCCCTGTATGCAGCAGGGGCTCGCTGAAAGAACATGAAATTGAGTGAAAAATAATCAAGTGGCAAAGCCAGAAAGGCATCAACAATAATCTAATGATGGGGCAAATTTGGTCCATTGTAAGGGGCATATGGAATTGATTAGTAGGTGCTGCCTGGAATGATGTGCTGGAGAGGATTCAATTAGCAATGTCTGCCAAGAGCTCAGGATGGGCAGGTGGAGGTATATGTGTCACATCTTTGTTACCCTGAATCTTGACTGGTGGCTCCCAGCCATGGGTGATTTTGCCTCCAAGGGACATTTAGCAAAGTCTGGTTTCTGGATATATTTTTGGTTGTCATGACTTGCTGGAGTGTTGGGGGAAGATGCATCTAGTGTCTCTAGAGGATAGAGGCCAAGGGTGCCACTAAACATCCTACAGGGCACAGGACAGTCCCCCACAACAAAGAATTATCCTGTCCAAAATGTTAATGATGCCACTGTTGATAAATTCTTATCTAAGCAAACCTCCCCATTTTTCCTATGGGGAAACTGAGGCCCACAGAAGGGAAGGAAGCAGCCCCAAATCACAGTCATCCCATTGTCCTGACTCACACATGATGAGTGCTTCTGTGTACTAATTGGTTCATGTCTAGTCTTTTTGTTTGTGTTTCATGATGGCTCCACAAGGCAGGCTTGTCTCTGTGATATGGCATGAGGAGTTTATCCAAGGCCTCCCAAGCAAGGTGGTGGAGGAGTGGATGGAGGGCCTGGGTCTTGCTTGCCCAGTTCTCATTGCTATGGATGTCTGTCCCCTCCCAGTCTGAAGGTGAAGGACGTGCAGCTGCCTGTTATCACATTGAACTTCATACCTGGGGTGGGCATTTTCCAGTGTGTGTCCACAGGTATGACCATCACTGGCAAGAGGTGAGTATGGCAGGTGCGGGGAGGTGGGAAGGGGAATGGAATCCTTGTCTCACTCTTACAGGCATATTTATTGAGTAGCTACTGTGTCTCGCCTGGCTGCTGCGGTCTGAGATGATGCAGACTTGGTTTCTACCTTTGAGGGTAACCAGAGCTGAGTACAGACAGTCACAGACTAGTGATTAGCCTGGGACAGATGAAGCACTGGCAGTGTGGGGGGATCAGAAGAGGCTTTGGGGAGATGTTGCTGTCTCCCAAGGATGTGCAGGAGCTCACCAAAGCAAGTGGGGTGAGGAAAAATTGGTTTTGTGATTTGGGGCAGGTGCCACCTCCTTTTCTGTCCTGTGAGGGTGGTCCCCTACCCTTTCCACCTCGCAGAGATGCTGAGACTGTGGGCAAAGAGGAGATGGGGATGGTGGGCACAGTGACAGAGATGCCCATGGTGCCCGCCTGCCCTCTCCGCCAGCTTCATGGGTGGGAACATGGAAATCATCTTGGTCCTGAACATCACAGCCACCAACCGGCTTCTGCAGGATGAGGCCTCGGGCCTCCCAGTGTTCAAGAGCGAGGGCTGTGAGGTCATCCTGGTCAGCATGAAGACCAAACTACCGAGCAGGTGAGGGGCTCTGCGGCCGGGAGGAAGGCTGTCCACGCTGCCACCCTGGCCTGGCACCCTGCTTCCTGAGCCATTGCACTTCCTTAACTGTGGCCCTGTATGTCCTGGGCCTAACTTCCTGCCATCCATGCCTCTGTCCCCACCCTCTGTGTCCAGCATGCCACCTAAGGTTGTCAACAAGCTCCTGGACAGCACCCTACGCAAAGTTCTCCCTACCCTGGTGAGTGCCCAGAGCAAGCCTGTACCCCTCACCTCTAGGAGTGCTTAGACCAGGGCTGGCAAGTGTATTTTATCTCAAGTGATCATAACTGACTGAGAGTGACTGAGGAGGATTCTGCGGCTGTAACTGGCTCAGTGGGAGAAAATTCTCTGATCACTGAGTGATGTCTGCCATGAGCACAGGAGGAGGAAATGGCAGCCTGCATGCCACAGCTTGCCGACCCTGCCTAGATCACCAGCCACTAAGGAATGAATCCTCACTAAGTCCAAAGGCTGTGGTCACTAATATTGCAGGATTCTAGTCTAGGCTCTGCCATTGACTTTCTGTGTGACTTGTGGCCTCAGTTTCCCCTCCAGTCCTTGTCCCACCAGGGCTCTTGGGACTCCCCGTGGAGTACCATTCAACAGTGAGGAATGGGGCACTTCATGTAGGGGCCCCCTCATCCCAGTGCCTTCTCTGCTTCCAGTTGTGTCCAGCCATCGATGCAGTCCTCGTGTATGTGAACAGGAAGTGGGCCAACCTGAGTGGTGAGTAACCTTAGCCATGCCTCACTCCCACGTGAGGACATCAGGACAGCCAGACTTCAATGTACCCATTTCCCACTCAAGTACCTGCTTCCAGCCTAGCTTTGGGACCGAGGAAGTCTGAGGCTGTGGTATCTGTCCATCCCCCACTGTCCAAATGGGAAGCCTAAGGCCTGGGGTCCTCACCTCTCAGCCCTCAATCCAGTATTCTATCCATCACCCCTGAGACTCCAAGAACAGTAGTTTTTTCAGACTCATTCACAAACCTTGCACCCTGAGTGGTTAATCCCAATAGTGATAATACCCAACTCTTTCCTTTGCCAAGGGGATCTGCTGCTTCCATCATCTCAGGGTCCAAAGAGCTCCTCAGTAGGGGGGGAGAGGGAAGCCCAATGGCTAGGACTGAAGGAAACTGGCTCATGTGCCCAGCAGTGTGGCTAGGACAAGGCACTTCACTCCTCTGAGCCTCAGTTTATGCATCTGTAAAACAGAACCAATAATCCTGACCCTGCCAGTCTGTTATGGGGACTGAGCTGTGACACCCACTGGTGAACTCTCAAATTCTGTGCCTGCAAAGTAATGTGAATGGGGGATGATTTTCCAGGTCATGCATCACTGCCTCCATTCTACAGGTGAAATTACTGAGGTTCAGAGATGTTAAGCAATTTGCCTTGGGTCACACAGAGAGACAGACTACCTGGTGCCCAGGCTAAGCTCAGGTGGCAGCTAGCTGGTGCCAGCTCCCATAGGCTGCCCCAGATTGGTGTCTCTCTGAATGGAACCTCATCTTGCACAGTCCCTACGCCCATGGGCCAGATGGGCTCTGTCAAATATGTCCTGACATCCGTTCCGACCACCACAGCCAGTTACTTCCAAGTGGACTTCAGTGTAAGTACCAGGGGGTCACAAGAGGGCTGGGGTCACACCAGCCTGCTTCTACCAGGGCAGGTGGTTGTGCCAGGGCTGTGGAGGGTGGAAAGGCCTACCATGGGAGTATTACGACATGGGTCCATCGCCCACTTTCTGCTCTCAACATGAGCCCTGAGTCCTGAGCTGATTTCCAGGGCTGCCAACTCCACACACACCTCCTCTCAAGGCTGTCTGTGTCCCCCACGAGTGGCTCACCCGGCTGTACCCCCCCCACTGTACAGATGGGAACACTGAGGTCCAGGGAAAGGCAGGACTTGGCTAGGGTCCCACTGTAAGCTGGTGGCAGAGTTGGGGCCTCACCAGGTTTCCAGAACTCTGGGTGACTAAGTGAGACTCATCTCTCAGGAATAGGAAGAAAAATCCCAGGAAGTCATCTCCCTGTCAAGTCTTCCCTAGCTTGGTTCTTATAGGCCCCACATTGTTTTCCGTTTACCTTCTCCTTAGACTAAAACAGAAAACACATTTTACATAAATAAGGACTCCAGCCAGTCAGAGTCAGATTAATTTGAGGTCACTTAAGCATGCTTAGGAGGGACTGCCAGTGGTTTGGTGGCGACCCCCTTGTCCCCTTGGGCCTCAGCCTGCCTATCTGCACACCGGGAAGGTCGAACCCCTGCAGCCTGCTCTGGCTCTGTCATCTCATGGCTTGCTGACTCGGGGCTGTTTGAGCACCATTAGTTTGGAAGACTGAGACTCACCGCCAGCCACAGTCCTCATGGCCGAGCTGAGTGTGTCTCTCTCGGCCGTCCTCCAGCCTGTGGTGCAGCTGCAGGAGGGCACTGCCATCCAGCTCGCTGAGGCTGGCGAGGCCCTCGAGCTCCCCGAAGGCTATGCTGAAGGCTCCTCCCAGCTGCTGCTCTCAGCCACCCTCCTCACAGCAGAGCTTGCCCTTCTGCAGAAGTCCTTCAATGTGAACGTCCAGGATAAGACGGTGAGCTGCCCATGGCTCCCCATGCACATCTGTGCCTACCCCCTGGAATGACAGTCTCTGCCTGGTGTGTCTGTCCTGAGAATGATCCTGTGATTATGGGCAACACTGGGACGAGGAGCTGCCAGGGCTGATTTGGGTTCTATCATCAGTTCACTCAGCATCCGCCATTTCTTTGCCATGTAACCAACCACCCAGATCGTCTACTCGTCCATCTATCCAACTGTCCCTACAAACGGGAGTTTATTCATCAGCCTATAATTCTCAAGCATTGCCCTCCCACCCATCTTTCTGTCCAGTTTTCCTCCCATCCATCTATCTCACTGTCATGTATTCATGCCCTAGACTCTATTCCCTCCCAGCTAGCATCCATCTCTTCCTCCACAGCACCCACATTCAGACCAGGGCCTGAAACTATTGAATGAGCAAACCTGTGCTTCTGTCACTTACCACCCGGACACCCATCTGCCCACCCAACTCTCCGTTACCCATCTCCTACTCATCTACTCATCCGTGTGTCCATCACCCCAATGTATCCATTCATCCTCCAGTCCATGCACCCACCCCCCATCCACTCATCAGTACATTTATCAGACCACTCCACCATCTGTTTATCCATCTATCCCCCTATCCATGATTCCTCTCATCCCTCTACCCGCCTATTCACCTGCACAGCTATTATTTATTCTTCTACACAAACACTCATCCATCCACGCCCCATCCACTCACCTACTCATTTGTTTATCCATTTCCCCCATCCATCTATCCATCCACAAATCCATCCATACCCCACCCCCCCAGCCTCTCACCTATCTGCCTGCTCTTTTACCCAACATTTTCTCAGCATTTGACCTTGTGCTCAGCACTGTGAGCACTGGAATGTGTAAGCCTCCATCTAGGTTGCCTACAAGCTTGTTACCTACTTAATCACAGAGTGGTAAGGGTTTTGATGAAAGGAACCTCAGAGAGCACATCTAATTGAGTCAGAGGAGATGTTTATCAGGATGGGTCAGGGAAGGCTTCAACAATCCTAACCTTACTTTTATTTTGCAGATTGGAGAGCTGCCCTCACAAACCACGGAGACACTGGCTGGCTTCATCCCTGAAGTGAGTGCCCCAGCTACTCAGGGCCACCATGCCCCTGCCGTGCCCTGTTCTCCAGCCGAAGAGTCAAGGGATTTGGGAGGCCACTGTTCAATGCCACCTGGTCTAATGTGGAATCACCCCAACGTCTCCATGCAGTACTCTTTTGATCCAGTGTGGAGACAGCTCAGTTTTTGTGCATTGTACTTTCTATGTCCAATGTAGAAATAGCCAGATTGTTTTGTTTCTTTTATTTCCTGATAGACATATCCCAGCCTTTGCATGTCCTGCTTCCTGTATGCCAGGTAGAAATCACCTATTTCGTGACGGACTCCTGGCTTTAACTGAGGCCACCAGTCTGAGGGTTGGCCCTGAGGGGAGCTCCCTGGTTTCTGTAGGTGGCTGAGGCGTATCCCAAGCCAAAGCCCTTGGTGACACAGATCAGGATAAACAAGCCCCCCCGGGTCACCATGAAGACAGGCAAAAGCCTGCTGCACCTCCATGGCACCCTGGAGATGTTTGCTGCGCGGCGGCGGCACAAGGCTCCTGTATCCCTCTTCCGCCTAGAAACTGTGAGTAGAGTCTCCTCCCCATTCAATCCCTCCATGGATGTTTGAGGCTGGAGGGTGGGGTTTTAGCTGACAGCCCAATAATGGATTTCTTAGTTAATCTCAGTTGTGTGATCCTAATCTCTGGGCACTGTCAGCCTGAAGTCTGATCCTTGGCTCTGCCCATGGGCGTTTGAATGGGGAGAAAGATCAACAAACTGAGAGTCAGTAGTCCAGTCCTCCCTTTCTCTCTCCTCCTCCCTTCCTCCTCCTTTCCTCTTCCTAGCACTCTTCTTCTTTCTGTCCCTCCAACATTCATTAGCATCTGTAAGAGCAGTGAAGGACTCACCCAGAGGACTGTGGGAGCCTAGGGAGATCCCCAGGCTAGTTTGAGGAAATCACAGAGGACTTCCCAGAGGAGGTAATAATGCCTGAGTTATGTTTTGAAGGTTGAGCAGGAGCTGACCTGGCCAAGAGTTGATGTTGGGGAGGCTGGTGAGGGAGGGCATTCTAGATGGAGGTCACAGGGTGTGCAAAGCCTGGCAATGACATGGTATGTACAGGGGCCTACAAACCTGCCAGTTATTTTTGAGAGTGCTGTCCTGGGCCAGGTACAGGGAAGATGAGGAGCCCAGGCTGGGGTCATGGGGAGACTGCTGGGCTCACCTCCTGAAGATGAGATGGGAAGAAAGGACGTCCTCTGCTTTGTCTTGGCAGTGGTGGTGGTGCTAGGAAAGGGGGAAAGCCCCGGTTCTACCAGCCCTAATGGGGGACCACTGCCTTTTCCCTGCTTCCCCCCAATGGCAGCACTTCAACCTGAAAATCCAATATTCAGTTCACGAGAACCGGCTGCAGATGGCCACCTCTTTGGACAGGTAGGAGTCTGCGGCCCACATGAACATCCCTGAACCCTTGCATGGATGTTACCAGCACCACTTGGTTTCCTGCTCCAGGGTCTCCCTCTGACCCATGAAGCACAACCACAAGGCCAGGTTTCTCTGGTCACCATCTCTGTTCTAGAACCTTCAGTGGCTCCCCATTGTCTGCATGATCTTTCCTCAAGTCTTAGCCTGGCACTCAAGGCCCTCCTCAAGTTCTCCCGCCACTGCTCCCACTGTTCCACTAGGCTCTTACACAGTGAGTCTGATCGTGGGCCCATGTCCCCTTTTCCACTAATAGGTCTTTGCCCATGCCACCCAAACGTCACCTGCCAATCAGCACCCACCTCAAATGCCACCTCCTCCAGGAAGCCTTTCCTCATACTAATAACGGCTAACATTTATAGAGCGCTATTTGTGACGAAGTAACTTCATGTGTTACATTCATTATTCCACCTCAACATCCTAATTTCACATTCAGTTGCTCATTTATTTTTGTATTTGTTTTAATCTTTGATCTGACCTGTATTAAGTCAGCATTCTTTCAGTTACAAGAGTCAAATCCAACTTTAACTGGCTTAAGCCCAAAAGGGAATCTTTTGGCTCATATAATTGAAAACTCTAGGGAAATCAATTTCAGGTGTGGCTGGATCTAGGTGGGCAAAGTCCTCAATATTCTGTCTCCCTCTTCCCTTGGCCTCTGCTGTCCACTTTGTTGGCTGAATTCTCAAGCAGCCTCTGGCCATGTGGCAGCAAAGGGAAGCCCAGCAAAAGAGAGGTCTCTTGTTCAATAATTCTAATAAAATTACCAAAGCTTCTTCTCGCTGGATCACATGACCAACCCTAAGCTTATTACTGTGGCTTGAGAGATGGGATGCTCGGAAGACCAGGCCTGCGTCGGTTGTGTGCTCACCCTGGGGGCTCTGGGTTCAGCCCCCTCTGAGTGCTCTGGAAGGAGAGTAGAAAATGGAGGGTCTGTTACCAGAACAGAGACTAGATGTTGGAAAGATAGAGCCACCAGAAGACCATCTCATTGCCTGTTCCGGTGCCAGCACATATCAGTGCCTACTGTAGATGTGCAGGGGAGGGGTCAGGCAAGGGGCCTCAGCTGTGCCCTGTAAGGATCTGCAGACTTCTGCATACCTGGCCTTTGATCAGAGCGATAGACATGGCTGGGGATCCCAACAGAAAGACTCAGGACCACTGACAGGAGGCAGCAGTTTGAGCTGAGAGAGACAAAATGGGCTGTAGTGAAAGGTGGTGAGTGCCCCATCATAGGCAGCATCCAGCAGAGTCTTATGATCACCTGGTCTGAAGGCTGTAGAGGGGACTGCTGCATCATGGACGTGTTGGAGGGGTCCGACATCTCCTTCCTCCAGGGCCAGGGAGGTGACTGGCTGCCCTGCTCCTCCTTGTTTCCTTCTCCCCCACAGATTGCTGAGCCTGTCCCGGGTGTCCTCGTCTATTGGTGCCTTCCATGTAAGTGTCCCAAGTGTGTCTGCCTGGTCTGGCTTAAGGGCAAGACTGGGCCTGTTCCCCCGTGGGGCTATAGGGAAGGGCCCTGAAATAGAGGCAGAGTGAGTGATGCAGTCACTGTGGGACTTGGAGATCCTGACCTGATGTGTGACTTTGTGAACGTTGCTTAGCCTTTCTGAACCCATTTCATTTTCTGGATGGAACCTGGACATCTCCTTGGATTAGTGCTAAAAACATTGTCATGCATAGCAGCAGCCTGAGCTGACGTGGTTGGCCCAACAGTCATTTTCATTAGTCTCTGTAGCCTCGGGGCCCAACACAGAACCTTATCTAGTAGGTGCTAATAATAATAACACAGCACTGGCCATGTCCTATTGCTATACCCAAACTCATTGAATCCCTGTGAATAGGTGCTATTATATTCCACTTTCACAGATGGGGAAACTGAGATATGGAGAAGCAGTGAATGAGCCACTGATCAAAGCTACTGAGTTTTCTGTAGGAGCAGGAATGGGGTCCACAGGCCACCCAATGTCTCCTGGATTCCTCCACGCCTGCATGACCCAAGGCCCACACATCACCTGAACAGGGACTAAGCAGAGGTGAAGGGCATCGGCCTAGCCAGACAGGGTCAGGCCCAGTTTTGATGCAAGGTGGACAAATTATTTCATGTCTCTAATATTCATTTCCAGGACCTCTGAACCTAGCTGGAGTGAGGGCTGAAAAAATCTGTTGATTCATTGAATGACGAGATGTAGGCCTTTTTCCCTTCCTCTCTTTCCCCCAGGAGAAGGGATTGACTGGCTTCATCACCGATTACCTCCAAGAAGCCTACGTTCCAGTCATCAATGGTGAGGGAGGGCTCCAACAGGCTAGGAGTTTTCTGGTGCCAAGAAGCCCTCTAAGCAAGAAGGGATGGCACCTAGGGGTCTCCGAGCCTGTCCACTGACATCAAATGGGGGAGGCTGAAAGGGAATGGATGGTCATTACGAATCTTTGAACCGGCCTGGGGACAAAGTGGCCCCTACAATTTGGACCCTTGACACTTGACCCCACACCATGAGTCCAGCCTTGACCCCAGACCCTGGGATGTAAATACAGGGTGCTCAGGCTTATGCTCCCTAGGCCAGTGCAGCTGGCAGTCACCATGAATCCGTCACTGCCCTGTCCTCACAGCTCCACTCCCGGCAGCCACTTCTTCATCAGCCACAGAGCACTCAGGCTGAAATGGCTCTAACTGTGTTTCTCAGATTTGCTCCAAGTGGGGCTCCCACTTCCCGACCTTCTGGACATGAATTACAACCTGGCAGAGCTGGACATAGTAGAGGTGAGGAAAGGAGTTGAGGAAGGCCATGTCAATCAACACTTTCAGCCAACGAATGAAGAGCAAAAGCCTGCCTGTCCAACCCGGAGGGAGCCAGGCTGAGGAGCAAAGTGGCCATCAGTATAATCCTGCCAATTCCTTGAATGAGATCTTGCCCCTCAGAACCTGGGCCCCCCTTGGCCAGGGGCTCCCCACAAGGATATGTGAATTCTGCTATTCTCCTTCTCTGCCATGTTGAGCAAATAACTTCACCTTTCTCTATGCCTCCATTTCTCTTTGACTTAAAAAGGGGATGATAATATGGGTATCCACCTTAGAGAGCTACTGTGATGATTCATTGAGATAATTCACCTAAATGCATACAGTAAGTGCTCAATAAGTATTAGCTTTACATTGCATGCCAAGCTTTGCGCTTGGAACATTAAACGCACATTCTTCCCACTGGATTGCTGCATTCTGGGAGACAGGCATGTTTATCCCCACTTGACTGTTGAGAAATTGAGGCTCAGAGAGGTGAAGGATCATAGGCAAGTCTAATTCATCCTCTACTCTTCAACACTGTGCTAGTTTCCATTTCCTGGCCACAGCCCGCTCCATCCCACCCTGCACCGGGGTGGTCACTGCCATTGCTCCAACCCCCCAACACCTGGCCCTTTGCCTCCTGCCAGAACGCCCTGGTGCTGGACTTGAAGCTGGACTGACCAGGGCAGGACCCGCGTGCCAGCTGCCTGCACATCACCAACCAGCTGCACCACATAGGGGCCCCCAACTGGATCTGGGGGGCCTTGCTCCCTGCCACTGGTGGCCACTTCCTTTGATGAGGCATGAGGGGGACAGGCCCTGTCTGGGGCCTTGGGAATAAACAGGAGAAAGGCCCTCATAAACATCTGATGTTTGACCTCTGTATTTGTAGCAAGTCGATGTGTGAGCTTTTAGTGGGTTTTGGGGTCTAAGACCAGCTCGGGGTCTGGGAGAAGCTGGCCACAGCCATGGAGGCAGGCTGAGCATATATTGATTACATGCTGAATGCCATGTTTAGGGCCTTACTGCACCATCTCATTTCATCCACACAATAACCCTATGAGGGGAGGGCCACCACTGCCATCCCCACTTTACAGATGAGGAAACTGAGGCACAGGGGGTCAGCTCCCTTGCCCAAGGCCATAGTTAAGCAAGTGGCAACACTCTTCCCATCTACCTTAGCCACTTGCCCCACATCCCAGTAACTTGAGGAGGCCCTGTTCACACCAGTGGAAGGCCTGGGTGCCTCCAGGAATTCTCCCCATGTCACTGCCCTCAGAGCATCTGTCTGAAGGTCTTTGTGTCTGTGGGAGTGACTCTGCATATGGGGATCTGGGTGGGTGTGTAAGGGTAGGGGTCCATGCCTCGGCACACTTGAGTGTCTGTGGGTAGTGTGGTGTGGCTGGAGGCCTGGCTTGGAGGCCAGCTCTCCCAGAGGCCACAGGGCCCCTGCAGGTGTGCCCTGGCGCAGCCTGGCCCAGGCCCATACCACAGAGGAGGGAGGGCCGGGAGGGGGGAAGGGGGAGGGCCCTCCCGGGAGGGCCCTCTCCCCTCCCCTCCTCTCCCCTCCCTCCCCTCAGCCCGGATGCCAGGCCCACCCCTCATCCCTCATCATTGCCCTTAATCCCATCACCCATCATTTCCTGGCTCTGAAACAATGGCAGCCTTGAGGCAGGCCTGGCGGATAAGATGCCTGGGTAATCCACGGGTGGCTGATAACCTACCCTGGGCATGCCAGAGACGCCCCCTCCACTCCCCCAGTCCCGACGTGGAACGTTTGCATGGCACACTCATGGCTCCTGAAGGCTCACTGCCACCCTCCCCAGGCCCCGTGCATAGCTGGGGAAACCAAGGTACAAAACTGTGAGAGTCACAGGGGGCCTGGGGTCTTGTCTCAGTGTGATCAGGAGCACACGGGGTGGCCTTGGACAAACCGCGACTTTCCTCCTGACTTCAATTGTCCCATCTGGGAAATGGGAGAGGGGTTGCTCTGATCTCTAAGCTGATTTCAACATTCTTTGTTAACCTGGGCAGAAAATGGAGGCTGAGCTGGCAGGGGGAGCCCTGCACTGTGACTCCACCCCCTGGGGAGGCGACGGTGAGGTTCTCTGTCCACGGGCACTGCTCACTTTCCAAGGCTCCCAGCCCTAGATGAGGGAGTGGAAGCTCGGAGAGATGAAGGGACTGGCCCAAGGGCATACTCTGTGCGGAGCTGGGACTCGAATCTTGTCTGCCGGAGTTCCTGTCTCCTCCTCGCTCCTTCATACTGCACTCAGCAGTGGGGTGCACCACGCTCCTTTAAAGAGACTGAAGTCCAGAGTGGTGTGTGATCAGCTGAAGCTCACAAAGCAGGAAGGGAGCAGAGCCAGGGCTTTGACCCTGGGCCCCCAGCAGTTGACCCCCAGGGACCTGCCAGGCAGCCCACCCCTGGGACTGTGAAGACCACAGAATGCTCCCTGCATCTGTGTCCACGTCGGTCACCACCGCCCTCCTTCTCCCTTCCCAGCCCCTCTCAGCTCCAGTGCCTTCAGGCAGGCCACCCAGGGATCTTGTTATTGTCTGGATTTCTCGGGCACCCCTTCCTTGATGCCCTAAAGTCTACTTCCAGACACTTGTCCTGCCAACCAGACCAGTCAGGTGAGGGTGGGCACCTTTAATATCAGCCCATTTTGCAGATGGGGAAATTGCAGCTCTGTGAGGTAAGTCACTTGATAGTAAGAGAGTCAGGAATTGAGCCCAGGAATTTGGTCTCCAAAGCCTTCACTTTGGGGAGTAACACCCAGGGGCGTTTCTTCTCCAGCCCCTCCCCTGCTTTACCCTCTCCTCTTGCTCCCCCTCTCCCTCACCAGGGCTTTCAAAAGAGCTGCACACCAGGTGGCCCCTGGAGTGTGTTAAACATGCCAGTTCCTGAGCCCTCTATCCCTGGCCTGTTGAGTCAGGGTTTTGAGGTGGGACCTGGAGCTGTGCAGCATTTTAATTAATCCCCTCCTCCTGTGTGCAGGCCCGACACCTGACTTGGCTTCAGCATTTCAAGAGGGTGACAGGGGCCTGAGGAGTGGGTGGGGGTTGCAGTCTCCTCTGGGGTGGACTCTGAAAGGAACTGGGGAAGATAAGGCAGACAGAACTAGGTAGCATCTTCCTCCCTTCCAAAGGGCCAGCCTGGGCAGTGGTGAAGATGACCAGTGTTGGAGTCTGAGGTCTAGCTGGACCCCTGTGTGACCTTGGGCCAGCAGCTTCCCCTTGCAAAGCCATGGTTCTGCAAATGTAAGGCAGGGAGATAATGCTAATGCTGACCTCACAGGTCATGGTAACCAGAAGTCTCCCACATGTCAGTGACTCACACATGGTAAGTGCTAGGTGCTAGCTTTCTCTCCTCCTCCCTCAAGCAAAGGTCTGAAAAATAACTGGAAATTCCCAGTGCTGGTGAGGCGGCAGAGCGGCAGTGACTCTCCCAGACTACTGGTGGGAATGCCCAGTGGCAGAGCCACTTTGGAGAGCCGCGGCATCATCTAGGGAAGCTAAGCATGTGCACGCTCTGCTGTGATCCAGCAGCCCGACTCCTGGTGTAGAGAAATAAAAGAGAAAAACATATGTCCCCAAAAAGACTTGACAAGAATATTCATAGCAGCTTTATTCATAATCGCTGACAAATGGAAAGCCCAGGTGCCTCTAGATAGAATGGCTGATTGAACTGTACTGTGTTCACATAACGGAGGAGTACATAGCAAAGCAAAGTGAATCACGGCGCCACGCAGAAGGAATGAATTCCATAGGCACAGAATGTAAAGGAAGCCACACTCAAAAGAGTGCACATGTGCAATTCCATTTATATGGCCCACAAGGGTGTATGTACTAGGCTCATCCGTTGGGTTAGAGGTCAGGACAGTCAGTGGTCACCCTTGGCAGACACTGATCTGGAGGGGACTCAGGGGGCTTCTGGGTTACTCAGTTTGTAAATATTCATCAAGCTGTATATTTAAGATTGGAGCTTTTCTCTGTATGTGTTTTTAATTTCAATAAAAAGCTTATTTTTTAAAAGTTGGTGTGGTTTAGTAACCTGTGTCTAGTTATCAGGATAAGTATTGTATAGTTATGAGGTAAATGAGGCAAATAGCACCCCATGTCACCAGGCAGGAACTCAGGGGCCCATGCAGAAGGCAGACCCACAAACATCCAGAAACATGGCTATAGCTCTGCATGCCCAAACTGTGACAGAGGGAATCCCAGAGGGCTGTGGGATGATAGCCAGTTTGGGAGGCAGGAAGGCTTCTTGGAGAAGGGGATGTCCCACCCAGTACCTGCAGAAGCATTGCAAACAAAGGCCAGTTTGCAAGTCCATACAGTAACCTGCAGGGCCCTGTCACCTACTTGGCCCCAAGTCCTCCACACCCCTCCAACCAAGCAGGCCTCCTAGGTGTTCCTGGAACACATCACCTCAGGGCCTTTGAACTTGCCCTTCTCTCTGCCAGATACCTGCCTGACATGTCCTGCAGGTCAAAAGTCACGCCTGCTCCAATATGAGGCCTCCCGTGACCACCAGATTGAAAACTGCACCCCCACTCTATTTTTGCCACCAGCCTCTGACTTACCTCTATCACGTGCTAATCTGTTCCCTCCAGAGCTGCACTGTCCAGTATGATAGCCAATAGAAATACAAGGCAATGGAGCATTTGAAATGTGCTGTGTCCAAATCTGGTGTGCTTTAGTGCATTTTGTAGACTTAGTATGAGAAAACGAATGTAGAGTATCTCATTAATAATTTTATAGTGACTTAATGTTAAACAATAATATTTTAGATATATTGGGTTCAATAAACTACACTTTAATATCAATCCACTTGTTTCTTTTTACCTTTAAAAAATGTGGCTACTATTCTTACAGCACTAAACTATGTTTTCTACCTTTATCTTGCATCTACCTACCACTTCAGCATTTTATTAAAAATAAAAATAATAATAATAATAGGAGAAATGTGGGATCAACATATAAATCAAGTACAAAAATCAAACGAATATTCATATTTGACCTGATTGTTTATAGGTCATATTGCATGATCAAAACCGAAAGTTTCTGTGATGAATGCCCTTGTACTGTTCACCATGTAAGAATTTATTCACTATGTAAGAATTCGTTCACCATGTAAGAACTTGTTCGTTATGCTTCAGAAGATTGGAGACTGACGAGAATTAGGCTTGAGATGGATTAATGATTGTACATTGAGCGTTGACCCCCCTATACTGAATTTTATTGTTGTTAACAACCATTTGATCAATAAATATGAGAGATGCCCTCTCAAAAAAAAAAAAAAGTGGCTACTAGAAAAATTTTAAGTTGCCTTGTATTTCTACTGGTCATCTCCTTTGGAGCTGGGGATTTGTTTCTTTCATTTACCACTGAATCCTCAGCACCTAGCCAACAGCAGGGGCTGCACACATGCCTGCTGTGGAAAGAATGGGTGAACTTTTCTCCATCGCCACCTGCAGCTGCCTCAGGAAGGGGGAACGTAGCCTGCTCAGGAGCCCAGGAAACACTGGGCCTTCGGGGTGGGGATGCACCCTTCCCCCAGGCCAGCCCAGAGTTCCTCTCTCCAGGGCCACACTGTCTTTAGGGCAGACCTGGGGCGGGAGTGGGAGAGGGCAGAGGGCCCGAAGACCCAGCAGCCTTAAGCTTCTTCTGTATCTTCCTGAGCCTTAGTTGGGGTAGGTGGGGAGGCAGGGTGGATTCTGTCCATCAGGATGGGCCCTGGGGAACTCTGGAGGGAGACCCCATAGGTGGGCTGAATGCCCCCCCCCCTCACCCAGCTCTGGTGGGAGGTGCTGCCTCTGCAGCCCTGGTTCCTTCACTCCTGCC